AACAAAACAAAAAAAAAAAAAGATAAATTAAGATTGAAAAATTTTCTGGCCAAAAAAACGACAAAAAAAAAAACATCGTTTTTATGTATTCTAAGTATGTATGTATGTAGATATCTGTACATACAAAAATGTATACAAAATACCTACATACACAAGATATACACGAAACACAACGTACAAAATTTGTGTGATAAATGTTGTATGTTCGAATATAACATACAAATAGTATTACATACATTATATACCCACATTTTGAAAGTATACACGTATGTATGTATATATGTATATATAAGAAATTATTTGAACGTAGGATATCATCATCATTATAATTTTTCTGTTGTTTTTTTTTTTTTTATAAATGATAGTATAATGTTGAGAGAAGAGAGAAGAAGTTGTTTATATTTATGATAATATTGGTTAGTTTGTTATACGAGATGTATAACAAATAAAAATTTTGTAAGAATATAATATAGGAGTGATCTTGAATATTAAATTAAATAAAATAAAAAAAAAATTTTTTTTAAATATTTGGTTAATTAATATCTTGCACTTTTATATTTAGAGTTCTGAGAATATATTAAAAAGGACGCTTTTTGTATAACACTTAAAATATTGTTTTACGTTCAATGAAATAAAATAAACAAAAAATATTTAGCTCACTAAAATAGATGTCAAAAATTAAGAGAAAATAAAATTTTTTAATTCTCATTTTATGCCTGACAATCTCAAATAAATCTTTGTTTATCGTAATAATGTAAACAGACAAAATAACGTTTATTATAATAATGATATCGTAAATTGAATATTAATAATTATCGTATTGATCAAGGAAATAATATAAAAAAAAAATATAATATTGATAATTTAAGAAAATTTTGTACTAAATAATTTTTCATTTACATTGTAATAAAAATACGATATTTAGTAGTGTACTCGAATACTACATTACAATTAATTCAATTACAGTAAAGTAAGCATCAATAACAATTTTTTCAACATTATTGGAAACACAATATACGGCCATGGATATATCGCATTCTTACTGAAAAATTTACGATATTATATTTATAAAAAATTATTAAATTAATAAATTTAAAAAAAAAAATTTAAATTAAATTTCGATTAAAATTTTCTATAAAGCTAAATGAGAACGGTAAAAATGGTTAATCCTAAAAGTTTTTCAACAAAATCAATTTTTATCGTATTTATGCCATATTATTCCATTAATTTACCACTATTGTTTCAATAGTAATTGAAATTCTTTACAAATTCAATTAAACTCACCTCGTACCTTATTTTAACATTTAATCTAATATTATTATAAATATGTCATTGGCGACTCAATATAAATACTTATAACAATATAATAATATCGTCGATGTTTATATATATTATGCAAACAATATATATTATGAATGTGTTATATTGGTTGATTGTTAGTAGACAAAAAAATTCCCAAAAATTTATTTCATTATCAAAAAAAACAAAAAAAGGCAAAAATTAGAAAAAAAAAGAAATATAAAAATTGAATAGGTGGTATTTCTAATATTTTATACCATTTTTGTATGTATATGTATGTATACAAATGCATAATATTACGAAACAAAATATTATATAGACAAAATTTAAGGAAAAATTTTTAGAGAGGAACGACATTCAAAAATATTATTTCTGTTCTTTTTGTTTTTTTTATTAAAAGTATTTGCAGACACGCGATTAACGGTAATTTATTTATTTATCATTTTTATTATTTTCTTTTGATTTTCATTTTTATTCTCTTTATTTTTTTTTGTTTTTATTTAATTTTCCTTTTTCATTTCCTTTTTTTTTAATCGTATAACAGTACACATACGTCTAAATGTGTACTAACGGTATCTTAATACACAATATGTTTATAGGTAAGTGTTTAAAACACATAAGTGATTTGATTTTGGCAAAACAAAATTTTCATTTAAAAATATGAAAAAAACAAAAACAAAAGAAAATTGGTCATAAATGATGGGTGTGACGGCCATTAAATTCGTCATCAATAAGTGAAAATTTTTATAAATATTATAGTGATTAACAAGTGTAGTATAAGGTGATAAGAAGGATAAGTTTTAAATAGTCTAAAAATATAGTCGATGTGTGAGGTCGTCTAAATGTATTTAAAGGATTTAAAGAAAAAAAAGTGTGAGAAAAAAATAAATCAAACCTTTATGATCAGATAAAGGTTTTTTGTTACTAATTTATAAATTAGTTTTATTGTAGTAAAATGGAAGATGAAGAATTTTTATACTGGTATGATAAATAAAATTTATTTCTTCTTCTCTACCGTTATACCGGAATTATTTGTAATTAAAATAATTAATTTTTGTACTTATCTTTTAGTAAAACATTTTATGTAGTAAGTGATAAATTTATTATTCAATAAAGATATCCGTAATATTCAACATTAAAACAAGTCAAAGTATTAATTAAGAGTAGATAAGCTAAAAATATAACAGGGATTTTGTAAAAACAACTAAAGAAACCATATATAGTAAGGTCTCCTTTAAAAATAAAGTACAGATCCATATGGAGCCGTGTAAAAAATCAAGCCTTGGCTTTTCCATATTGCAATTAAAAAAAAGTTTTAACTATAACATTTTAAGTAGCATATTTGTATGTCGAAAGCATTCTAAAATTTAACATTTCAAAATTATAAAGTTCTTGGTGCACAGCAAGAATGCAAGCATTGTTATTAAAAAATTTTGGCTGGTCTTGTTTTAAAAAGTACATATTATAAAATTTCGTATTATACTTTCGGAAACAGTTTAAAGCCGACTTCCGAAATACATTTTAAAAAGATTTTAGAAAATCATTTTTAGTTTAAATTTGAATAACTTAAACTTATTGAACAATATTATTCCTAATCAGTTATCAGCTCTTCGACAACTCTTAATTTTTCCAAAATATTTACATTTTTAAATAATTATTAGTTTTATCTGTAAATTATATATTTAAAATAGAAATTAAACAAAACTATAAATTTTTCTTTTGTTTTTCTTCTAGGTTCAGAAACTTTTTTTTTTTTTTTGATTATATAAGTAGTTTATTTCGTTCCAAAAATATATTTAAAGTATATAATATAATATTGTGTTTTATAAATTTTAAAATACATAATTAATAATAATTACATGTTTTTTGTTTTTTGAAAAAAAATCTATAGTAGATATAGTTGAAAAAATAATATTTAGAAAAAAAAATAGAAAAAACTAAGAATTTTAAATTTTTTTTTTTTTGTTTGTATTTTCCTTTCTTCTACACAAAATCTTTATTTTTGTTTTTTTTTTTTTTTTTTTATTTATTTTAGTTGTAATTTTAATTTTACATACTGCATTGGTTTTTTTTTAATGTTTTAATTACTTTTTCATTATTTTTCTTTTTATATAATTTAATAAACAAATAACAATAATAACAACTCTGTTTCATTTTTCTATTCAATTTTTAATTTAATTTTAATTGTATTTATAATTACTTTTTAATATATATTTAGGTAACATTATTCAGGTTGATATACAAAAATATATTTAATATATATTTCATGAATACATATACATATAAATATTATATTTAATAGCAAAAACTCAAAAAAAAAAATTATTTTTTTTAAACTAAAGAAAAAAAAACAAGAGAAAAATAAATGCAGTGAATAATTTTTAAAAAAGAAAACAAAAAAATTATTTTAAAATATTTTAAGTTAGAAATAAAAAGAATTAAATTCATTATTTTTTTTTATACAATTTAAATATTGAATTATAAATATTATATTACAAAGATAAATAATTTACAATTTATTAAATAATAATTACTAATGTTTACAGTAAAAAATATATAGAAAAAAATTTGTTTTAAAAAAAAAAGAACATTTTTCATTAAAGAAATAAATTTCAGTTTTTTTTTTTATATTGTAAATTTACAAAATATCTTAAAAGTAATAATATAAATTAAAATTATTAAAATAGTAGAGTTTACAAGTTTTATAATTATTATTTTTTTTTTTTGTAATTTATGCATTGATATTATTAAAAATATTTTGATAATAATACAAAAATTTGTTATAAAGTTTATATTTTAAATAAAATTAACAAATTTTCTCATATAATTATTAAATGAAATATTATGCGTATATTTATTTAACAAAAATAAAATATAATTAAGATTAATAATATTAATTTAAAATTAAATTATTAAATCGAAAAAATGTTTAATTAAAACTTAAATAAAAAAAAATTAAATAAAATAAACTAAATTATACAATACGATGGCAAAAAAATTATAAATAGTATAATTTAAAAATTTTTCAAAAATTTTTTATTATAATTTTTTTTAATTAATAATTTTAATAATAAATATTTTTTTTTTATTTATAAAATTGTATTATTTTTTTTAGAGATGATTAATTGAGAGAATATATAGCATTAAAAAACATTGAAAAAAATTAAATTTTTATTTTATTTTCAATAGTAATAATAGATTTTTAAGAGAATTATTATTTTTTTATTAGATTGATTAATATTATAGGTAATATAATTATATAGGGTGAAAAAATTTATACTTTTATTATAATAATGTCATTTTTTTTTTTTTGTTTCTTATTTTATATTTAAATTGATAAATTATTGTTTTTTGTAATTATTTTGTGAAAATTAAAATAGTAAGTAAATATATTTATAAAGAAATATATTAAATATATAAATTGCTTTAGTTGTTTTTTAAAGATTTTTGCATTTCAATAAGATATTTGGCATTAAAAATATTTTTTTAAATTGAAATCATTTAATTTTAAATAAATTTATTTCATATTTTCGTGCTATTTTAATTACTAAAAAAAAAAAAAGAAAATCTTATAGAATCTTATTTGAATTTTGCAATTTAAGTTTTCTAAACATTTTACATAATATATTTACGTACATTATTTACTTAGTAGAATTATTTTAAACAATATTTTTTTTATATATTTTTAAGGGATTTCGATATTCATTTTTTTTTTTGGTTGTGACAAATGAACTATTTTATAACTTAAATTAAATTAACTTATATTGCTAAAGAACCTGTTCTTGTTGAATTTTCCAATTTACAAAAAAAAAAATGTATAACAGCACCAGGTTCTGAATTTGTTTTTTATTTTTAAATTTTGTTAATAATAATAATAAAAATTGTAACAAAAAAATGTAGCTACTTACAATCTAATTAAAAAAATTATAAAATTAAATTATTAAAATAAATTTTTTTTTTTTGAAAAATTAATTCAATAAACTTATTATACACAATTACTAAATATAATTCAAAAATCGTTTTATCTATTCAAAAATATTGCATTTTCTCTAATTTTTTTCAATTTTTAATTCATTGGTTATAATCAAAACCTAAAAATATTGAACACCAACGTCTATGTTTTTCTCCAAGTAGCCCTTCTGATTTTTTTAAAGCTAATAAAAATTTATTTTCAACTTTTGTTACTTTATTTAATGGTTCTTCTTCAAGATCATGATCTTGATTTTCATATTCCATTGTTTCATCATTATTTATATCACCATTTATATCATGTTGATTATCATCATTATTATCCTTATTTTTATGATTGCCATTTTTTATATGTTCATTATTATTATGATTGTGATTCATGTAACGTGAATTATTCGTAAATTCTTTACAATTATCAACAATAAATTTTAATGATGCTCTACGATGAAAATCAAATGATTCGAATGGTCCATAAAAATTTTTTGATTCATCACAAAATTTAATATCATATGCGGCAATATTACAACAAAATAAAAATGATTTTATAATATTATTGTCGATTTTTTTTAAATCAACACCAGGTAACAATGTATCTAAAATATCATTTGTATTTGTAACATGATCAATTACATAAAAATTAATGAATTCAATAAGAGATTTTAAATCTTGTTCCTTATCAAAATAACGTATTTCATAAAGCTTTTTTAATATAAATTGCCTATAATGATAGCAGCTATAATCGCTAATATGTTTTTTAATAAATTTTTCTGTCATTATTATTTCTGATTTTAATAAATGTGGTGCTTTTTGAATAACCCATTCACGATGTGTCCATGCATGATAATTACTTGAACTTCTATCACCACATCGATCACATATTGCAATTTCAAATGACCAATCAATTGATTCATAACCTTTTATAATAAAAATTTATAATAGAAAAAAAAAAGAAAAAGTATTAATAAAAATTTACAAATTTTTATTTAAAATTTTAAATTAAATTACTTCGGAATGAAAATAACCATCGTCTATAACTAAATGCTTCATTTGATTTTGGTTTAACAGATAAAACTAATGATGCAAATTGAAATTCTCTATGAAGTTCAAGTTTATTTTTTTCAACTAAAACCCTTCGTATATGCCAAAATGTTGTTACATCTGAATTAATTAATAGTGCTATATTGACATATTTTATTATAGAATCACTATGACAATAACGATTTGCTAATTTTAATGCCAAAATTTGTTCATGAGCATACATATAAACTGGTTTGGCACACCATGATTCTAATCCTAAATTGTGATCTTCATGAAGAACTGGTGATCGATTCTTTTGATCTGCAGATGTTGGTACAATAGCAAATGATGATCTAAAATATCAAGAATATAAAAAAACATGATTAATTTTTAATTAATTTTCAATATTAAACAAGACAAACTCTGGAATATTAAATTAGGGCGAATTTTCATAAAACAAAACTAGCAATAAAAATCCTAGCACAAAAAATTTTGTTTTCCAAAACAAAATTTGGAAAAATATCTTCATATACGAAACACTCTTTTTTGCATTTTAATATAAAAAATCATATTAAGATAGGAAAGTAGTTATACTTAGACCAACCTATCAATACAATATTCAAAAATGAAAAATCAGAAAGCTTATTTGAGCACCTATAAATTTTGAAATGAAAAGATTCATATAAAATTAAAAAACAAGAAAACAAATCAAACATATTGAAGAGATAAAAATTATGAATTAGCATAAAAATATCGTGGTGTTAATGAGAATTTGTACGGCTAGATAAGCAAAATAATGTTTGTCCATTTAATAAACATTAGGTATACCTATCTACCTACCAACCTACACATAAAAAATTACAGATAAGTAACAAAATTTTGAATAGAAAATGCTATGATAAAAAATTTTGTTATTTATTCAAGCTTTCATCTATAATTTGTTAATTTATATTCAAATAACTAAATATAAAATTGAATACTAATTTTAGATTTACTATACAAATACAATAATATTAAAATTTAAAACAAGCGTATTTAAAAAAAAAGGTAGGTTATCTACAAATAAAATAAATGACGAAATTATTGAATTTTTTAGGTATTTACATAAATTGATTTGATTTTTTGTATAAATTTCTTTATTAAATTTTAAAATAGCTACATATTTATTTATTTTTTTTTTTAATACTATGTAATGGGCGTTAACTTTCGTAATAAGGCTATGATGCTATTTTAAATTGAATTTTCTTTTATTACTCTTAATTAATTTTGTTTCGGATCTAAATTAAATTGGCTTTAAATAAGAGAACAATAAAAGACATAAGTAGGTACCAATATACTTACAAATCGGTGTCCTTGACAAACACTGCATGAATTTCATTTATTATTTTCTCACATAAAACATCATTTTCACTATCATTTTCCATTTTTCAATTTAATATTAATTGAAAAATAACCTAAAAACTAATTTAATTTTTATTATAATTCTTATAACGAATATTTTTCAATAACTCTGTTGAATAAAAATTATTTTATATTCAATAGAATTTATTTACTAAAATTAAAAATAAAAATTCTTATTTTAATTTTATAAAGCAAAATTTGTTTTCACAGCACGCCTGTGACATTGTGTGAAATTTATTATTATTGACGTTTCTTGGGAATAGAAATAACGATAGCAACTATTTTTGATTTTACTTAGACATTATTGTGTATAGCAATATAAAATTAAGTTGCCATACATTTTGTTATTGTTTGTGAAAAAAAAAACTGTTCACTATATTCAATTCAATGAAAATTACTAAAATACTTCAATAAAATAAACAATACTTTATTTTTGTTTCTCTGAATTAATGTTATAAATATTAGATGCACATAATACGTAATAGAAAATTATTCTGCCAGTTATAAGGCTGAAACTAGTTTTGGTCTGATGATTTGTAAATTATTTTAAAATCTTCAATTAACACACAAAATGTAGAGTAGAACTGGACAATTCCCTTATGTATGAAGGTATTAGAATTTCCTACCTTTTACCGCTTTGTAAGGATTTGATGTTAACATGAAACAAATTTCCACTCACTGAGCTATTTAAGTTTTTAGTTCTTTTACTGATTCTGTTAATAGTTTTCTATGAGATTTTCGAATATGATCTTTCAAAATAAATTGCATTGAAAATTTTTTATTACAATGCTCACACGATATATTCTTTTCACTGTCACTTAAATGAATATCTTTATGTTTTTTTAGTGATGAAACAGTTGTATAGGATTTATTACAACCTGGTGCATTACATATAAAATTTCTTTCACCAGTATGTGTTACCATATGCTGTTTTAAATGAACTTTAAGTATAAATGACTTAGAACAAATTTCACATTGATATTGTCTTAATTGTTTATGAAATCTCATATGAATTTCGAGCTCATAAGATGTTCTACATTTTTTTCCACACTGTTCGCATTCATGATTTTCAAAACCAGCTCCTAAAAGGATATTATTGAAGAAAATATTTATTTAAAAATTTGTCAATTTATTTAGAAAGTTAAATGGATTTTTTTTTTATTAACCTGTGTGAATCCATCTATGTGATGAAAGTTGATATTTTGTAATAAAAGATTTTTTGCAAAAATCACATACAAAAACATTTTCATTCATATGCTTTTTCATATGATAATTAAAATTTTGTCTATCAGTAAAATTTGCTCCACATTTTGTACATAAATAACTTTTTATTGTATTATTATTATTAATTGATAAATTATTGGTGGTTTTAGAGTTATTAGTTAATTGTGATATATCTTCAAATTTTTTATTTTCATGAAATGATTCGTTGTCGTTACTAATTTCTTCATTATTTAGATTTTTTAAAACAATATCTTCGTCTGATGTTTCAAGATATTCCAATTCAAAACTTTCTTGAATTTCTTCGTTTGTACTAGTATTGGTTTCGCTTATTGAATCTAGTTCTAAAAAAGAATTAATGGTTTTTTAATATTTAAATATAGAATTAAAAGCATGTACTTTGGCGTATGGTAAATTCCTTTTCGTAGATTCGTCTCAAGCGCAAAAGAGATTTACTACAACTTTCTAAAAACCAATTAATATCTTCAATTTTACATAAGCAAGAGTAACATATTTTATGTGGTATATTTTCTAAATAGTCATTTTCAAATACATTTTCCATTTTTCTGTTTAATATTTCTACCACCCAATCGCATACACCATTTTCCAAATTACTCAAATGATCATGTTTTTCTGCACAAAATCGGCAATATTTTTCCATAATTTAATGAAAATGTAAAAAATCTAATACGTAAATAATTTTTTAAAATTATTCTTTTAATTTTTTAGATATTATTTTTTTAAAAATTTCAATTTCAAAAATTTTTGGTTACTTAGAATATTTTTATTGTTTTTCATAGCAAAGTAAACAAATAATGACGTTTCTTTTGCAATATGAACTTAAACATTTCAATTTGGCATTTTTATTCTGTATACAAAACCCAAAAAACCAATAAAACTTTGCATTGACGCATTTTCCTATTGAAAAGTCACTTTGAGTTCTGTAAAGTCAATTGCTTATTGTCAACAGACAGCTGATAGAAGTTTATATTTGGTTTGACAATTATAACCAAAATTAATCGCACTATTTTTTTTTTGTAAAAACAATTGATAAATTTCTTTTATTTATTGATATTTTTCAAAATTTTAATAGACAAAACAAAATGGCAACAAAAGTAGTTGCAACAGCAACTATTAGAGCAGTCAAAGGAAGAAAATTAATACCGACACGAGCTGCTTTAACATTAGTAAGCATAAAATAATTATTATTCTATTATGTAGCTACATACAATAAAATATAATGATTAGATGTGCAAAACAATGTTTTAAATCTTTTGATTTCGTAACAAAAACAAAGTGACTATTTATAGTTTTAATTTTCTCATTTTATTTTAGACACCGTCAGCTGTAAAGAGAGTGAAGGAACTCTTAACTGGAAAACCAGAATTTGTTAGTAAAAAAATGGAAACTTTGATGAATATTTTATAGAAAAATTGAATAAAATCTTTTCTTTACATTTTTAGAGCGGTTTAAAAATTGGAGTGAGGCAAAGAGGATGTAATGGACTTTCATATACGTTGGATTATGCCAAAGAAAAAGGTAAACAATTTCAAGGTCACTTGATTTTTATTAAAAAAAAAATACTGCAATTATAGATAAACTTGACGAAGAAGTTGCTCAGGATGGAGTTAAAATATTTATTGATAAGAAGGCACAATTATCACTTTTAGGTAAATATATATGTAGTTCAGTAACAAAATTGTAATTTATTTAAATTCAAATAATTTTTAAAATGACTAGGATAATAAAGATTATTATCCATTATTTTCAAGTTCAAATCGGCAAAAACAGTACATATCTAATTAAAATTTAATTTTAGGTACTGAAATGGACTATGTGGAATCGAAATTATCTAGTGAATTTGTTTTTAATAATCCAAATATTAAGGGAACATGTGGTTGTGGCGAATCATTTAGCTTGTAATTTGATAAATCAGATCAGTACAGAAAATTTAGCGTTAAATGTAAATTCATGTACTAAATGGATATTTAAATATTCTTGAAAATTATTGTAAAAATATACGCTTTGTTGAAACTCTAGTAATAGTAAATATAGAAAAAATTATTATTTAAATCAAATGTTATAAAAAATTATCATTTGATCCTGATAAAATGATTTCAATTGTATATAACATTCAAATTTCTTATTAAGATATAAGAAGTGTTATTAAAAAAGAGTCAGTTGCTCAAAATCTAGTTTTAGAAGAACATAAGTATTAAAAACCCCTAAATTAGACATAACTAGCACAAGTAAACCTGGATTTACTGCTCTTCGCAATTCTATTATATTAAATAGAAAATGGTACTATCACTCTACAAGTTTACAGACCGACCGTACAAATTTGGAAAAACTCCGTTCTAAGCTATGTTTATAAAAACACTTTATTAAGAACAATCGTTTTAATCTTACAGTAATTTGGTATTCATTTTACTTAAATTGTGATTCTTTGTCTAGAATGATCCTGATTTCTTTATCGAAATTGGAATTTTAATTTAAAAATTAAAGCAGAAAACAATGCACTAACGCAGTTCCAAAAAAGCAATAAAAAATTTTAACATTTTTTAAACAGTTTATGTATTTTTCTGTGCAGTGTTAATTGGAGAGTATTGTTTACAGAATATTACTAATAAATTGTGAACGAAAAAAATATGAACATCAAATAATCTTAATACTAAATAGTGTCATGTCTTTGAACTCTGTTTTTGCAAAACCCTTAAATATATACTTGCTTTTATCGTTAAAAAATTGATATGTCAGTTTAATATCGTATTTAATATGACATATTAAACGTCAGACAAATGTCTCTTTTTGAAAATAAAAATTGCAGACGTCAACTTAAGAAAGAAAAAGACCAGCCAGCCATTTTGGATTTTCGTGTTGTGGAACAAATTAAATATCTAATTTTTTTTTAATTTAAGGGAAAAAACTGCACTTTGTTTAATTAAAAGTAGTTAAGAAAATGTTTATTATTTCATTAAGGTGAATTAAATGTTAGTATTTGTTATTTGTATCTAAAAGTTATTCACATTTTCCGGTTTAATATACAAGACAAATAAAAAAATTAAACCTAGTCTGGCTATAGTGAAAACAATGACCTCCTGCTATCCGACTATAGTAAAATTACAATACATTCTGAAACATTATTCATCATAAATGTAATATATCGAATATATATCTGTTTTGAAAAATATTTAACACCAAAACCTTTAATAATAAAGAAAATTGGAATTGGAAAATTAATCAGAACATAAAAGTAATTTTGAAGGAGAAGACGAAGGAAAATGAAGGGGCATTGATCTCTCTTCCGGTGCCTCTGTGCATAAAATGTGTATTGTTTAATCTTACACATTCATTAACATAAAATTGAAAATTTATATTGAAAATTTGAATGATTCAAGAAATTTTTACGCAAGGTAAAAAGAAAATTTTCAATATTACGATATAATTTTCATATAAAAAAATAATTTTAAATAAGACGCCTGAAAAGTTCATTCAAAATTTTTTTTTTTTTATCAAAAACAATAAAAGGCAACGATAAATATCTAGTACATAATGGCAGATTTAATACGAATGGGAGGTGTGGTTGTTATCCAAAAGGATAAATTAGAATCACCTTCAACAGAATCGGAAGATGGTGGAAATGGAGCTGTTGGCGGTGTCGGTGGTGGTGGTGTTAATATAATTAGTAATGCAACTACTGCTGGAGGTTTTGATCTTGCTGATTTAGCACAAGAATTAGATCAAGATGAATTTGATGGACCAAATTTATTAAATGGTAAGATTTGAAAAACAAAAAAAATTAAATCATTCGTGAACTTGTAATAGGTACAAATTGTGTTACATCTCAGTTTATTGAAATGAAACTTTTTTTTTTCCATAAATTTTTTGTTATACTGAAAAAATATAAAAGAAAATTCAAATATTATTTTTTGATTTCCTTTTGTTGTCCATTTTTTTTATGTTGTAATTTATTCTGGTTTTCAGCGTAGAACCTTATATTAAATAGGTGGAAATAACCTACTATCATAAAAAAAGTAAATATTTTTCAATGAGTCATAGAACTTTTTGTAATGGAATTATGAATTTTTTATTTTGTATCTATTTATATTAATAATAGTAGGTACCTATATGTGTACATATTATAGTGTAGTGAAATTAAAGAAAAAAACTTGCGGTCAAATTCTACTTTGCGCAGTTCAATGAAAATAAATCTCCTATTTCTAAACTTTCTAAAACTTAAATGTCAATCATTATATTATGAAAATCTTTATCAATAGATAAAAATAACATGTTTCCTAAAATAAATAATCAATTCTTTTCTACTTCTTTATGTTTATTAAAGAAAAATGGGTTAGTGTATTATACTTGAATTAAAAAACAATCTTATAAATAATTGCGCATATTATATTTGAGAGTATTAAGGTGTTATTTAATAAATTTTATAATTCAAAACTAGTATACCTAATTATTTTAATATAAAATATTAAAAATTTTATATTATGCCCTGCTTACGAACAAAAAAATTTAATAATTTATTCTCAACTTTACTATTAATTTATTAAAATACATTGAAATGTTCTATTATTTATATAAAATTTTAGGAATTTTATGTAACAAAGCTGTAAAAATCTTATTCAGTTTGGAATTATTAATTATTTTGAAGAATTTACAATCAAATTTGCTTTCTTATAAGTAGTCTTCAACTTTTTGACACAATTTTCATCTTAGTAATACAAAAAAAAAATCGATTATTTCCTTATTGATTTTAATAATTTTCCTCTTAAATAGTTCTGTGCTCTCTAATTTTTAAAGGAATATTAATTATAACTAATATTAGTTATTATTAAAATTATTTAATTGATTATTTAATACTTGTTTCTTGAAATATATTTTAATTACTTATTAAATAATAAAAATAATTAATAGAATATTTTATTTATACAAATAAAAATATTATAATTTCGATTTTACTTCAATTTTTATTTTATTTATTTTGTGTACATACCTAAATTGTGTTCTTATTCATATTTGTTTTATTAAAATATTCTTACTTTTGGTTTTGATGGTTTCGCGTGAATAATTAATTAAAGCATTCAGTCGAAAAATAACAATAGTTTGCAATGTTATTATTATTATCGTATGAGAATTGAAAAAAATATAAAAGAAAATTAATAAGAAATAAAAAAGCTTTTGTTTATTTTTTTCGAATATAAATTATGAAGATATAGGCCTCTTTATATACAAGAAATGGGATTTTTTCATTTACTCTTTGTAGTTCAATCAATTCAAATGTGTGATTGGCTTTTCATATCAAGATTTTTGTATTATGTTTAAATAAGGAACGAAAAAAAAATGGTTGATTTATTTATGGAAAATTTATTAATGCAATAAACTTTTTTTTTTAGTTTCGAATTGAAAAATTCAATATTTTGTTTTATAACTTTTGGTACCTAAAATAATTGTGTTTTACTAAATAAATTCTTGTTTGCAATCAAGAATTCAGAATTAAAATGTCTCAAGAAATATTATTATTTGGACTTTGTAAGGAAAAATTTGCATTTTTTTCCCGATTTACCAGTCTTTAAAAACACTAATGATAATTCTCTTTAAATTAGGTGAACGTCCAGCAATTATTGCACCACCAGAGAGTGAATGGTATCATGGTAGATTGGACAGATTTTCAACCGAGCATAGATTGAGAGGTGCTGCAAGACTTGGAAGTTATTTAGGTAAATTATAATAGAAATATTAATTTAAGATTTATGAAGAAATAGAAAATACATTTAATTTTTTTGTGTTTTTTTTTTTTAGTAAGAGAGAGTGATCGAAAACCTGGTTCATATGTACTCAGTTATTTGGGACGTACTGGTATTAATCATTTCAGGTACTTCTTTATTTATATGAAACGAAAAAAATTAACTTAATTTTTTACATAAATTATACATATTTTAAATAATTTTATTTAAAAAATTGCAGAATTACCGCAGTTTGTGGTGATTTTTATATTGGAGGTCGTCAATTTGTATCACTAAGTGATTTAGTTGGTTACTATACATCATGTAGTGATTTATTGAAACGTGAAAGATTGGTATATCCGGTACCACCGCCAGAGCCGGTAAATGATAAAAAACGTGTTGTGGCAATTCTACCATATACAAAAATGCCTGATACTGATGAATTAAGTTTTCAAAAAGGTGATATATTTTTCGTTCACAACGATATGGGTGATGGTTGGCTTTGGGTAACAGCACATCGAACTGGTGAGCAAGGAATGATATTTAGAGAATTAGTCGAAGATTTAGATCCAGCTATAGATCCAAATACAGTATTTCCATGGTTTCATCCAAATTGCACAAAAAATGAAGCTGTTGATATGTTAGTTAAAGGTATAAACATTTATTTTATTCTTTCAGTTGAAATATCTATATGAAAATAAATACATTTTTTAGCTGGTCCTGGAAGTTTTCTAGTCCGACCTAGTGATAATTCCCCTGGAGATTACTCATTATTTTTTCATATAAAAAATACGATTCAAAGATTTAGAATTGAGAAAAAAGGAGTTCGATATCTAATGGGCGGAAGAACATTTGAATGTTTGGATGCAGTAATATTAAGATATCGAAAAGAACAAATTGTTGAAGGAGCAACGCTAACTAATCCTGTAATTTGAAATTTATTTAAAGATTTAAAATTTTCGTACATAAAAATAAATAATGAAACAAAATTTTAGGTTGTTAATGGATCACAACCAGAATTTCAATCACAATTTCATCCAATTGAAAAAGCAGAGAAAATTTATGCTACGTTACGAGAATGTCGTGATCAAATTGGTTTGAAAAAAATTAAAGGTATTAAACATCATGGTTATTTATATAAAAAATCAGATAAGACTGCCAAATGGAAACAATTATATTTTGCATTAATAAGTGAGTCTTCTGAAACTCATTTATGCTTTTATGACAATCCAAAAAAGACAAAACCAAAAGGATTAGTTGATTTATCCTGCGCCTATTTATATCAGTGCCATGATTCACTTTGGGAACGTTCATTTTGTTTTCAAATTGTTGAAAGAGCATTACCATGTTTAGCAACTGTAACATATTTATGTGCACCTAGTCAAGATAGTTATGTCGAATGGATAAATGCATTAAAACCACAATGTGTATCACAATTGAGCCGTGCTCAATTAAAAGTACCAAGTCTGAGAGAATTAAGATGTTTAAATTTACATGTGCTTGAAGCACATAGATTACCATTCAAATTGGTCCCACATCCATATTGTAGTATTTCATTAAATCAAGTAAAAATTGGTAAAACAAGAGTTAAAATTGCACCTGATCCAGTTTGGGAGGAAGAATTTGTTTTAGAGTAAGCATAGTTTGAAATTAAAAACGAAATTTCTAAAAATATATTTGTATTTAAATTTTTTTAGCGATGTGCCACCAGATGTCGCCATATTAACAATTACAGTATTAAGTCGTGGTAAACGTGGTAAGGATTCCGAAGTAGCAGAATTGACAATAGATTTGGCCAATTTGAAAAATGGTCAAGAAACTGAAGAATGGTATTCATTAACTGGGATGACTCCTGTTAGTGAATGGGGCTCGTTACGTTTACGAATGCGTTATTTAGATGATCTTATTATGCCATCTGATGAATACAGTCCTTTGCAACAATTATTACTTGAACAAGAATTAACATCTGTAAAAGCATTAGCTGAATTATGCCATAATGATCGTATACCATTAGCAACATCATTATTACGTGTTTTTCGTAATGAAAAGCGTGAAACAGAATTAATTCGTGTACTCTGTCAAGCAGAAATTGCTCGTGAAAGTGAAACAACAACGTTATTTAGAGGTGCATCATTAGCAACAACACTAATGGATTTATATATGCGTGCTGAATGTACAGGCTTCTTAATAGCAGCAGTATCGGAAACAATACAAAAAATTTTAGAAACAAAGCAGTCAGCTGAATTGAATCCGACTAAGATGGATGTAAATGACGATGCTTGTTCAAATGCAGAATTTTTATTACAAATTTTAGATCAAGTTACACAATCGATATTCACTTCACCAGATGCATGTCCACGAACTGTAAGATATATTTGTAATTGTTTACAAAAATCTGTTGTTGCCAAATGGCCAACAGAACGATGGGTTAGAACACGAGTTGTCTCCGGTTTTATATTTTTAAGATTAATATGTCCAGCTCTATTAAATCCACGACAATTCAGTTTAGTTAACGAAACACCACCGACTGCAGCAACACGTTCATTGGTAATGATAGCTAAATGTTTACAGAATTTGGCAAATTTAGTTGAATTTGGTGGAAAGGTATAATTTATTTGTAAAATATTGAAATTGATTTTAAAATATTGGTTTTAATTTATTTTTTTTAGGAACCATATATGGAAGTTGTTAATCCATTCATATTAAAAAATAAAGAACGAATGATCGTTTTTATGGATCAACTTTCATCAATAACGGATCCAAGTCCTCCACCCGGTCAATATATTGAACCAAATGCAAATAATATTTGCGCAGATACAGGTAATTTTATCAATTCTCATTCTTTAATTTTTTTTTTTTAATATAAAATCATAAATATTTTAGGACGAGATTTAGCAACATTACATCATATATGTGTGTCATATTTACCAGAACTTCAACAACTTATGAAAACAAATTCATCTCTTAAAAAACTTGTTACCGTTACAGATATGTTAACAAAGCACAAATTAAAATATAAGGAAATGATAAGTTAAAAGTAGTAAAATGAAAAAAAAAAACACAAAAAGAAAAGGAAAAAAAATTAAGTAAAATAATGGAAATGAAGGAAAAAAAGAAAATTATCTAAATGTTAATCACATACAACGCCAATATTGAACAAAACACACAAACAAAAATATATATTAAAAAATTTAAACATTAATAAAAATAAGTTATACTAATTTATATTTATAAATTATATTGTATATGAATTATAAATATGTAATTATTACATAAAAAACTTTATGTACTCGTAATATCTTAAAAAAAAATACAATCGTTTGTCACAAAAATTTTTAAGTCAGTTTAACGCAAAATATCAATAAAACGATTTTTTTTTTTTCATAAATTTTAATATTTTTGTTATTATTATAAAATTACTTTTTTTTTGGAAAAATATGCATTTATTTATAGAATATAGGAAATTTTCTTTTCATGTTAAATTTTCCTTTCAAAGCATTATTTGAATTTAAAATTTCAACTAATGATCTTACATTAAAAATATACATAAAAATGTTGATCCTAAAGACATATAGATAGATTTACTTCTAATATGAATTTTTTTCTAAATTTTATGTTCATTTCAAAATAATCTATAAAATTTATTTAATGGTTGTTTGAAAAAAAAAAACTAATAAATTAATGTAATAAATATTATTTTTTTCTTTTAAATAATTTTGAATAAGAAATTTCTTTATAAAATTATTTACACAAGAAACCTTTTTAACAAAATGTTTAAAAACCTTTTTTTTATACTTTTATTTTGGTTGTAATTTAATTAATTGTAAATTCAATTAAAAACAATCAAAAAGCAAAATTCAAATTTTTGGTGCTTAATATTTCATTTCTTATATTTATATATTAAATTTTTATATATATATTAATTTTTTTTTATCAAATTTTTTATTTTAAAACTATAAAAACTTATAATAAAAACAATATAGCGTGATGCTTTATGGCCAAAGGTATTTGATTTATATAAAGAAAACACATAAAATACACACATATGTATACACACACAAAAATGATAATATGTACTAGTAAAACAAAAACTTATAGAGTATAGATTACAAAACAAAGAAAACCTTTACTTTGGTTTTAATAAATAATTTATTATTAAATAAGAAATTGGAGAAGACCTAAAATGAAGAATAAATTAAGAAAAAAGAAATAATAAAATTTTTAATATTTTAACTTTTTTTAAATTTTAAATTTTTTTTACCTTTTTTTTCATAATTTTCTACAATTCCTAATTTTGGCTATTATTTATTTTGTTTATTGAAATGCAAATATCCACTTACTATTATCCATTTAAAATTAAAGAGAAAACAAATGAAATTGTGGTATTTTTTAATTGATATTTTTTTTAAATAAATTTAATGTATTTTGTTGTATAATTTAAAGAACTGTTTTGTCTAATTAAAAAAAAAAAAATTTATTTAAGTGATTCAAATGCTCTCAATATTTTTAATGCTCGAAATTTTAAGTTTCTCTAATTTTATATTGAATATTTCAAACATACATAGACATATGAAATTCTTTAATAAAAAATTTCAGAATTTCAATATTTATTGTGATACGAAAATAATATTTAAAACACATAAATAAAAAAAAAACAAAATAATTTCGGTCAACCAAAATTTATAATTACAAAATAAATTCTTACTAATAATTATTGATTCCATGATTCAATTATAACATACTTATTTTTTAATTTTTTTTTAATTAAATATTTAAATTTTATTAATATTATATAAATAAAAAAAAAAAAATAAAACAAAAAAAAAATTGTGAAAAAAAAAAAGAAAAAACTTTTTAAAAGTCAATTACTAACCGAATAAAAAGTTTCTTTTGATACAAAAAAAAAATTATAAAAAATAAGAAAAACAAAAAATTAATAAATATGATCGATAATAGTTATTTTTTTTAAATTCTTTTTTTTTTTTCGTATATTATTTATAATTATTCCTTTATTTGATATTTTATTTTATTTTCTTGATTAAACTATTATATAGACCTTTGATCGATAGTAGAAAGGGAATAATAAACGAATATAGTAAGTGTAGAAATATTCTCATGATCAAAGATTAAAATGAAATTAAATTGATATTTACAATATTAACAAATATCAAAGAGAGAATTGAATTAAACAAATAACAATGAAAGAAAGAAATAAAAACAAAATAATGTAAATGTAATGAAAACATAACAAAAAAAACATACTAATTATAAGTTATTTTGACAATATTTAAAATATTTTTTATGGAAGTATTAAATTAAAGAAAATTATTTCATTTTATTTGATTAATATGTATTTGTTATTTGAAATTTTAAAAATTATGTTATTCATCTCGATGTATTTGAAATTATATTAGTTTTAACTGGAAATCTCTATAATTTTAATATCATATTAAAATTATAATATCAATAATTTATAATTTATATATTATATTAAATTATGATATTAAAATCTGATCTGATATGTTCGAGTATACATTTAGAATATTTGAAATAGCTTGAAAGGGCTAAAAATTAATGCCATGTATTTGTTGTAAAACTATTAATTTTATTTCATTAATTTAAACATATTATTTTAAATTTAAAATCCAATTTCTAAAATATCTTTACAAATGGATTATGTACACTTTCTAACATTGAATTTTTAGAAATTGGAAAATTTTATTTTTAAATTTATCAAATGATTTATCAAATAAAATCATTTTATTTTCACTATATTAATACTTCCTAAAAAGTAACAAAAAACTGCTAATACTTCATTTTATAACTTATTAATTAAAATTAAAAATTTCTTAAATTGTCGGGTAAATAAGAACACAAAAAATAAAAAAAAATACGAATCGATATTTTATTTAATTATTCGTAAAAAAATTTACGTCTAATTTAATATTAAAATTAAAATTTAAAAAAAAAAAACAAAAGAATAAAATAAAAAAATATTTAAAAAATTGAAAAAAAAATTTCTTTTTTTTCTTAGTCATTAGTGTATTAAAAAAGGAAACAAAAACAAAATCGAAAACACAAATTCTTAGAAACAAACAAAACAAACACACAAAATAGATATAAAAAAAATATAACAAAAAATTTTTTTTAAAAAACAAAAACTTCATCCTCTTTATTGAACTAAAACGCGACACATATTTGAAAAAAAAAAAATAAAAATAAATATTAAATAAATAATAAAAAAAAAAATATTTGTAAACAATTACCAGATTTAATAAAATTTAAATAAAAAAAAAAACAAAAACATAAAGAAAAGAAAAAAAAACAACCGTTGTAGAAACTTAAGTTTTATATTTCTAGTTATAAAAATTATTATTATTAAAATATATAAATAAATATATATAATATATGTATGAAACAAAATTAATTAAAGATCGAAAAAAAAGAAAAAAAAAAAACCTATAAAAATACACAAAACTTGTCTTACATCTATTGGATAATAAATTATATTGAATTATTTAGCAATAAAATTTGTTTTAATTATATATATATATGATTATATATTTTTTATTATTATTATTATTTAAATAATTAATAATTTTAATTTATTAATTTCAGAAAAAATTAATTATTCATTTACCTCAAGTGATTCGCATAGAAGAATGTCGTTGATTACACAGAAACAAGTCAATATAAGTTTTGAGAATACAAGCTTAATTGTTTTAATTAGAATCTTATCACAATATTGTGAGATCATAATAAGGAAAATTTCTTAAATATTTCAGATCATCATAATTATTTAAATAATATGTAGTAGAATTAATTCAAAAGGAAATTTTTATATTTTAAACAAATTTTTGTAGAAAATTAATATTAGACAATTGAATCTTTAACACTAATCATATCAAAGACTTAATATATACCTATTTCTACCATAGCGGGTCAAATGACCCGTTGTGGTAGATATCGGTATACAACAAGAATTACTCAGAATAAACAAAACAAAACAAACAAAAAAAAAATTGTTATAACTGTACACATTAATTACTTAGAAAAAGTCATGAAGTCAAATGTGCAAACGCAATAAAATTATACGTGCATTTTCAATGCAAAAGTTCAAAATGGTTCATTTGCAACCGTTATGGTATGTTCAGTGTTAAATTGATTGCTCTTTAATAGTTAATACTTACCAAATATTATTTTTTCAGTGAATGACAAAAAAAAAAAAAAAACGAAAAAAATTATTAGAATTAGTGATTAAATTCTGGTTCTGTCAAAAATCAATTTCTCTAAATTGACTAATCCTATGTCATATGATAAGATTGTATGATAAGGTTATATGATAAGAAAAATATTGTTATCATATTGTAGCTGAAAAAAATTTTTTTTGGGAGAGTATAAATTTTCAAAACAAATTTTTTTTTTACTATTTTTTTTTTTTGTTTTAATTTCAATTATTAACAATATTTGTATATAATGATTTTTATATATGTATGTATAATAATATTATAATTTATTTTGCAACAATAAGAATTTTATAAAATAAATTTTCATTATATAAGAATAATTAATAATAATAATAATTAACCATTCAAATTTATATATAAAGATCTTTTTTTTTGTTTGTTTTGTTTTGTGTCTTTTTAAAATATTTAAATTACATTTTTTTTATGTTTTTCATTAGAATATAATTTGAATTTTAAATATAATGAAGACAGAAAAAAAATAAACAAAAATAAGTTTATACAAAAAAATTTTTTTTTTGTTTTTGTTTTATATTTTTACAATTATATAATTTGTATTAATAAAGAATATATAAATATAATAATTATTTATTAAATGTTTTTGTATTTTAAAATGTAATGATATATTGTTTTGTTACATGTTTTGTTTATATGAATATTTAATTTATAATAATTTCTAAAAAAAAAAAAAAATTTTTTTATTTAACAAGAATTCAAACTATTTTAAATGTTTTAATAACAAGAATTATTATTTTTTTTTTGTATTTTTTGATTTTAAAATTTTTGTAAATATAGCATTTTTATTGGAATTTTAAAGTTTTGAGAATATATAAATTTCATTATAGCTATATGTTTATATTTTATTTAAGTATTTTTTTTTTTATATATAATAAATTTAATTATAGAAATATTAATGCAATATTCTAAATATTTTCTATTTTTTTTTTTTTTAGGACAGTGCAATGCAAGTTTATTTATAGTGTCAGAGAATCTAGTTAAAAAAAGAAATAATGGAATTTTCTAAAATTAAATTTTTATTTTTAAAAAAATAAAATTTTTCATATACAAAATGAAATGAAGACCATTTATAATATTATTTGCTGCAGTTTTAATCTAAAGATTTACTATATTGTTTTTTTTTTTTATAAATATCTTATATACTAAATTATTGTATTTTTTTTTAAATATTGTAAATAAGTACACTAAGTCCTCGAGATACGACATCTTCTAATACGACATTTCGAATTACGACATGATATAAATTTGGATCATTTTTATTCGGCTTACGACATTGTTCTTAATACGACATTGAAAATTTAAAAAAAAAATTGTTTTTTTTTGACAGATTTTACTGTTTTTTGAATAAAAATCTATACCGAATTTAGTTATAAGATGAGACTAAAGCACATACTTCAACAATGAACTCTTTCTAGTTAAAAATTCTAGTTAGTAGTTAATAATACGAATTGAAGTGATAAAATATCAACTTATTTAGATTTTATTTTATTTATTTTTGTTACATCATTGAATTTTTTTGATTTTGTTATTATATTTTGTTGTTTTTTTTTTCAAACTTTGTTACCTTTTTGTAAAAAAAAAGGTAAATTATTTTATAACATAGTTTGTCTAATTCACTTTTTGTTTCAATATATTTTTTTTCCTCCTCAAACGACAATTCGAGTTACGACATAAATTTCTGGAACCCAAAATGTCGTATCTCGAGGACTTAGTGTACTTTGTAAATTGGAAAACACATTGTTATGTAAAGAAATTATTTTTCAAAATAGTAGAAAATTTTATTACATTTTTATTATTTATTTCTGAAAATGAATGATTCTTTTTAATTTTAATAATGATTTAAGAAAAACTCATGCTAAATTGAAAATTTTTTATAATACATAAGTAATGAATTTTAAAAAATTTTGTTGTTGTGTTAAGTAGTTATTATAAGATGATTTATTTAATAAATAAGATGTTTTATTCTCTTAAAAAACAAAAAAAGAAAAAAACTAAATAATTTCATTCAAAAATTGTTTAATTGGACTTATTTCATTTTTGATATGTATTATCAAATTTTTATATTTTGTTTTGTTATTTTAAAATAGTTTTCTTTTTTCTTTTTAAATAATTATTATGTATGAGATGCTTTATTATATCACATTCAATTTGAATTTTTATTGTACAAATAATTGTGATTTTATTATACAATTTATGCAATATGTTATTTTTAAAGAATCATTTTTTTTAGCTATGCACTGTCTTAAAACATAATTAGATTAAATATTATTATATGTATAATTATTTTAATTTAATTTTAAATTAAATTGAAAAAAAAAAATAAAATTCTTATTAATAAATCTACAAAGAATAATTAGATTGACAAATATAGAGATAATGAAAGGAGAATTTTTTTTTTTGAAAAACTAATAAAAGCTTTAATAATTATCATATTAATATAATTTTAATAAGTAACAATAGAAAAACGGAAGAAGTAAGTAAAAAAATATTTAGAATTGTGTCGGAAAATTAATTTCGATTGCATATTTTATGTATGGAATCAAAGGAGTTTTTCAAAAATCTAGCGCTGAATTTAATTTGAACTTTAATTTAATTTTAAGCTTCAAATTGTTATAGCATTAAAAACCAAATTTTTAAAAAATCTCACAAGTTTGGGATCATAATGTTAATAAGTGTTACTGCGAGGCAATTGTTCAAATTAAGAAAAATTGCTTTATAGACATTTAATCTACATTTATAAAAATTCAAACATTATAAACACTTACTGATTCACGATCTTCTGAAACATGATTCAACGAAATAGAATTTTCCGGTACAATTGATTGATTAATAAATTGGAATTTGTTGGAGGCCCATTTTATACAGAAAAAATTTCACATTACATTTAATTTTTTTTTTTTTAAATTACTTATAATAACCTTCAGTCATTATTTGAGGCAAACATTTAATTTTTTTTTTTTCTGTTTTTTACTTTTTTTTTTTTGAATTATTGAATATAATAAATTTAAATGAAAATTAAAATATTCAGTCTTTAATAATATTATTTCTAATATAATATTTTTATGATTGAAGTGCAATTTTTTATTAAAAAAGAAAAATTAAAAAAGAACATTTAAAATAATTGTTAAAATTGTATGTATGTATGTTTTTTGTTCTTCTAGTTTAATAGCTGTTGTTTTTTTGTTAATGTTATTAAAAAATGAAAATATTAATTTAAATTTAAATTAATTTACAAAGTGTGCATTTAAAATATAATTAATGTAGTCTCAAAAAATTCATTCTTATTATTTTTAATACCATTTCTTTCCATTAAATACGGTTTAAAGAACTTGTTTTTTAATGTTCGAAAAACACTTTGTCTTAGTTATAATTTTCTTTTCATTTTATAAGTATGTATAGGCATAAATAAAATTTTTGTGTGAATATAATAAATTGTAATTATAAATATAGAGTTATTCACAATACTGCGGGATTAAGAAACAGAAACGAAACTAAGTAATTTTTCATATTTAACTCTCAAAATCTACTTTATTACGTTGTATAGCCAATAATATGTCATATATTGTTAACTTGGTTTTCGTTTCACTATCTTAATCTTGTAGAATTGAAAATATTTCTTAAGGAACAAAAAAATATATGTATATTAATTAAGTACATTAATATATGTAATTGAATAATTAATTTATGTGTATTTGTCATTATTTAAATAAGGATTTTTACTATATTAAATTTAAGAAATAAAAATTAATTTAAGAATTTAAAATCTAATCAAAATTTAAAGGATTAAATGTTCCATCTGAAAGAGGATTAGCAAATAAACTGCTATTGCTACGATATTTCCAATTCTCTGAATTGATTAAATATTCTCTAAAAAAATGAAATTAAAATTTAAATTATAACATATATATGTATATATAATATATATTATGATATATATATATATCTTTTTAATTTACCTATTGTCTTTTAATTTATTAACCCATTCTGTACGAATATCCTCTAAATGATATGAATTTCCTCCATATTCAATTGGAAATAATTCTTTTGGTACATAATCATATATCGTTAGAGAATTTGGTTGATGAAATCTTATCTAAATATTAAATACATAGATATATATAAATAAATTTCGGAATATTAAATTATTGAAATATTTATTTTAATAACATTTTAATTACCTTTTTATAGAGATCATTTCTTATGAATGGCTTTAAAATAGCCATTATTTTATCTATAAATACTGGACAATTTAATAAATGTATTTCCTTCAATTTAACTGTTATTGCCTCTTGTAAATATTTAAAGAGAGCACGTATTGCTGTTATATTAGCACTTTTAACATGTTTCAATGAGCAACCATCCATATCAAATATTGTTATTTCATGATTACCAGTTGCACCCGGTATAATACAACGAACATCAAAAAACATTATAAAAATTTTTAAAGCCATTGTAAAACGAAACTGTTATAAAAGATAATATAAAATAAAATTATAATAAAGTGTAATAAATTATTGTATAATATAATAAAATTACTTAATTTACCTTACTGGGATCACCATTCATTAGTTTATAAAGTGTTACTTGGTCACCATTATTTGTTTTTTCAGGGAATAATACCATTGCCCTTAAAAATTATATAAATTAAAAATTTTTTAATTAATATTGTTAAAAAACAAAATATTACTCGGATTCTAATTGTTGTTTAATTTCAATACTATCAGGATCACGATCTATAAATATTTGTGGATAACTGCTACGTAATTTATAACTATTAACGATTAGAATTTTAGCTGATTCAACATTATGATCACAGCAATGTAGAAAATTTTTTAATAAATTTTCTTCTAAAAATTTTAATTTTTTAATTATTAATATACTTGAATGTTAAAATACAATTATTGTATTTGCTTACCTATTAATGGTAGTGAAGTGTTATTTTTGACGAATTCCTTAAGAATACCATATTTTTCATCTTCATTTGATATACGTTCAGACATGATTCTTAGAATTTATTTTTTATTTTTTATATAGCTATACAAAATTTTAACCCAAAAAAAAAAAAAAACGAATTTGCATAAGTTTATAAATTGCTCTTCGATATTAAATATTAGCGGTGATTCTATAAAGGTGTGTGTGTAGATTAATAGATCCTACTAGAAAATAGTATTTTTATATTTTGGGTTGTGCAAATTTTATGCTGAAATATTGTAATAGAAAAAAAAAATTAATAAGATTAGATAATTGAAAAAATGTTAATGATTATTTTACAAACAGTTTTTAGTAGAAAATGTAGAATTTTAATCGTAACTCAAGTCTTTTTCTAAAAACAGTAGTTATAGTTGAAAATTCATGCTAGATAGCAAGTTCGTGCAATACAAAAAATTCGAAATAAGTTTCTGTTCATTTTACAATTTCTTACTTCATAATTATTTTTCAAACGTTCTTCGTAATGTAAAACTAGCAAAATATTTACTTACATAATAATTTTTAAACAGTGATCAATTAACGACCACGCTTCTAGTCAGAACTATTAAAGAACTAAAATATAAATCAGTCAAAAATGCCTTATTTGAGTTAAGTTCAATGTTTCATTAAAATATTGTAATATAGCGCCCTTATGACAAAAAATGTTATAACTCAAAAAAATTAATTTCGAAAAATTACAAGAATTTTTGCTGTTTTCAGTGAAATGTAAAAATAGTGTAAAATTACTAAATTGGTGTTCGTGATCAAAATGATGAAATTTTAAGCATTTCTTATAAATTTTTTTTCTTAGTTTATAGGTAAATATTTGTAAATCTAAATGACCTTATAGAATCTGAGAAATTTAATTTTTTGAGTTGTTACACTTTCGTCTTCAGGGTGCAGATTTTACTAAAAATCTTATCATAAAAGATTAATTTTATATGATTAACATTAGCGATTAACCAAGTTATAAAATGTAAAAATTATTACCTATAGAGAAATTTATTAAGAAATTTTTTAGTATTTTGATAATAGACCTTGAAACTAATTGCAATATAGAAATAAATTTTTATATTGATATTTTTATAAGCAATATTCTACGAGTATTACTTGAAACCCTTGAGACCCTATCTATTGAAATTTATTACAATAATTAAAATTTATCTTTTGATCTTTTGTAAATTGTTACTATTTTTTAAAATTATCTGTAAGGGAATTAAATATTTGACCAATATAATCGTGAATATAAAATGAATTCAACTTTTCAATTTACATAGAATAAATTAAATATATCTTGAAATATTTTCGTTGTAGTTATTCCAATTCATTATTCGGTAGAAAATTTAGTATGACAATAAATTTGTAGGAATTTTTTTTTTTATACAATTTTTATAAAAATATTATTGAAAATGTGATTTTAATAAATTTATTTGGTTTGTGTTAAAGTATCAATTTTTAAAAGAAATATTTTTTAAATTTTCTTTGTGGTTTAAATAAAAGTCCGTACATTATGGTATTTTAATTAATTTGAATTGAAGAACAATAGAAAATATAATTGTGCAAGAACAAAATTTTAGATAATTTTCAGATTTCACAGTAAAAAATTTATACAATGACCGAGAATTATTTTGTATTCGAATTTGACTGGTGTACAATGCTAATTTTTAATTAATCAAAATTCTTTTTCCCCTGATTTACAAAATTATATACATAAAAGAGATATATTTACATACACATGTACTTTAAAGAATAATTAATTTATAACAAAGACTATAATATAAAAATAGTACAAAGAATGAAATTTTCATTTTAATATTATAGTAAACAATAAGGTTTGTGTTGCCTTTTTTTATTTATTAGTTAAATTTATTAGTAAATCAAGATTCTGATTGTTTCTTTTATTTCTTATTGTGGTCGCACCCCCTCCCCCGCTCCAAGAGGAATTATTTTTTTTTTATAAAATTGTCCCATCTTACCGCTGCCGAGAGATTATACCACGTTACATGGAAAACCTCGTATATTAAATTTTTGAAAGAAAAACTATTTTAATATTAAAAATTGCCAATTAAATACGGCAAGTAATTGTTATACATTTCTTATATTTTCATGTATAATATTATATGGTCACTTAATGAATTGCCTATTTTAAGTATATATAATTATGTATATATAATTAAAGAAATGCTTTATAATTATATTAATTGTAAATTCATACTATATTCAAAATAATTTTCAGTAAATTTTATGTAAAGAAAAACAATGATTTTATGATTTAGTTACATTTTAATTAATATTGATTCTCAAAATTTTTATATTATGTAGATAAACGTATACCCATATTATTTAAATTAATTGCGAACAAAACTCTACTATAGATACATACTACAATTGAATAATAATATAATCATACAAATTGTATGATCAAAATATAACCGTGTAGAATGTTATTAATTCCAAAAAATAATTTTTCACATTCTATACTTATTATATGATATAATAAATATAAAAAAATACAGTACAATCACTCATATTTAAATTAAACAAAAGAACTGTTATACATATATAATTTTTATATAACAATTTGTTTTCGAATTTTAAAAATATATATTTTCTTAAATTAAGAAGATTTCATTTTTAATTAACCCTTATTTTATTAAATCTTATATAAATCTCGAAATTTCATTATTTTCCTCAACTATATATATGATATATATGTAGATATATATACCATCTTTTGATTTTTGACCTTCGAAATAAAATTTATTATATTTTTGTATAATATTATTGTTATTACGTAGACGAAGTTAATTTAATCTTATATATTTAATATATTTGCATGAATGACTATAGTAGAATGGGGTATAATAGAAAAAATTCATGCCCTATATTTTTTGATTCCCATATATCTAGTTCCCACAAACACAGAAATCAAAACATAGAAAGTATTATAATTACTAAATATAATTTTCAAATTGTTATAAAAAAAAAATTTTCATAAATTTGCTAAGAGGATATCAAGGAAGTTGGAAAAACAAGAGGGCATAGTAAGAAAATTTGCATTTATTTTCAAGGAAAATTGAATATTACAGTAAATTTATTCATTATATATAGATTTTCTCATACCCGGGTTATTTACTGTGTATATATATGTATATACATTTAAGTGTATATATATGAAAGAAAATTTTTTTCAATTCTGGAATTTTTATTTTAAAATCAACTCTAAATTATTAGAAAAATATTTAATTAAGATTTTCTATTATTACCGATTAAAATTCTATTAAAGAAATTTATGAAAATTTTACAAGAAATAAGAAAAATGAAATTAATTTTTTTTTGCTTACCCATGCTCCTTTTTTTTATTATTTTTATTTTTTTGATTTTATATCACATTTTCCATTATAAATGGTGGTGGTTTTCCACTACTCTGTAAGATTACAAAATTATTAAGAAAAATTTTTTTTTTTGGCAATTTTCTTTAAAAATTGAAAATTTAATTTTGTTTTGGAAAAACACGTTTTTATGTTAAAATTTGCTGTATTTTTTTGGCACAGAAAAAAACGCCAAATGAACTCAAAATTTTTTGTATTTTATTTTTTTTTCTTTTATTAATTTTTTTTTTTTACATTAAAAGACAACACCATTTATTATTTACCTATTTGATGGTGATTCCCTTAATGTTTTTGTCCGTCAAAGTCTGTGAATTTTCTACAAAAAAAACAGAAACAGAAAAAAAAAAGCAAAAGAAATGGGAGAGTATTAAAAATTTGTGAGAAAAATAAAAGCTTTTTAACATACGACGAGCATAAAAGCCAGCTGAATTCAACGTGCGTTCTTCTATACGCACATTATACTCGTCAGTATATTTATGTAACTAACGTATATATAAAATTTTATATTTATGTATGTACATAATACAAGTAATGCTTTAAATCAGTATCAGAGTTTCGAACCTTTTCAAATCTTGAATTTAGATTTTTAGAATAGGATTTTAATTATGGAAAATAATTTGCATGAAAGGCATTAAATGTTAATCAAAAATCCTAATAAAAGACCTGATTTAGTGTTGTCGCCTTTGTACTTCAATTGATACCTTTATATAGATTTTAACAAATGGATATGTTTAAATGGTGTCAAAATGAATTCAAGTTTAACTGAAAAAGGCTGCAAAAATCCATGATCCTTTTATATTTCTATAATGGAGAAGGAAAATCATCAAAATCCACAAAGATTGCTGAAAAGACAATTAAATAGTATAAGAACAAAACGATAGCCTTAAATCAAGGTGGCTCGTTGATTAGATGCCATAAGAAATTTACTAAACAAAATTTGGTAATTCAAGATATTTTTTTATTCATTTAATAATTCGGAGCACAGTCTGTAAAATAAAAATGAAATTATTGCAAAGCTTTTTCTTCATTTTTGGAGAGTTTTATGTAGAATACAATATAAAAAGAAAATTTTTTTCTTTTGCATAACAAAACAATATTGTAACAAAATATAAACATTGGAGAAAGGGAGAGAAATTATCTATGCGGGAGAGAGAGAGAGTGAGAGAAATTCTATACCAATAATAGAAGAAAATGAGTTTGAGTGCAAATGCACTTAATTATAAAAGAAAACTTTTATATTAGAATTTTTATTATTATAAATAACGTTTTGAACGTCATTAATTTATTTTTAAAATTAAAATAAAAAATGCAAAAAAAAAAATATGCAATGCCTACATTTAATTAAAAATTTATAATTGAATTTTAAAATGTTTGAAAGAAAAATGTTTTCATGTTTAACTTACCACTATTTTTTATTTAGAATATACAAAAATTGTGTAGCTTGTGAATTTAAAATTTTGTTATATGTAATATAGCCTTCGAATTCATTTAAAATTTAACTTAGACGCTATATCGTTTTCGATAATTTATTTTGCACTTAGTTTTGGGAGAGTATACTTGGCGTTTTTCCACTCTTTTATATCATACTGACACACATTTTTATTTTTGGATAATTTTCAATTTTGTTTTTTGTATGTTTTATGTAACTAAAAAATAATGTCTTTAGGTTATTGAGTGATGGATGTAAGGAAGAGAAGTGTAGAGAAGAGAAGAAAGAGTAAAGAGATGTAGAAATGGGGGCAAATGATAGATTGACCTTCGAGTAAAATTGAATTTTTTTTTTTATTTAGAAGTAGAAAAAAAAATTAAAAAAGCTTTTTAATGTTTTTCTTTTTCATTTTTTTTAAATTTTACTTTTTAAATATCGTAAAAATTTTCTTGTGTTCTTGTGTATATTATTATTTTGAATTTTTATCGTATATTCTTTAATAATATTTATTGTAAATATTTCATTGACCGAGAACATTATTTTGTTAAGAGCAAATTGACTTTTTAAGGGTAATTGAACTTAACTTTGTTTTTTAATTTTTTTTGTCTCTTTTTATATTTAAAAGAACATTGAATTATGAACAAGAAATGTGTTATACGAAATAAAATTTTTCAACTAAAAATAAATAGAAAATTATTATTATTGTTATATTAAAGAAATTTTTATGAAATTACATGTGGGAGCAATAAAATATTAAAAGTTCCTTTGAGGATTATAGATTTTTGTTGCTTATATTGAGTGCATTTGTACAAGTATACAAGAATTGTAAAATGTAAAATTATTTATTTTTTATTTGATTGCATTATGTAAATTAAATGTTATATTAAAAAGTAGATATAAAAGTAATAAAATTAAAGTAGAATTAAATTAAAATTTATAAAAGTATAGTATAAACTTTATAATTTTAATGGAATTTTAAGGGTATTTTAACGGTATAGCCTGTATATGTATTAAAATATGGTCTATATATAGGTGTTATCCCTGTAATATAAAAATATGAAGAACATTTTTATAGTATATTAAGTTTATTGAAATGATAATAAAAATTTTAGATGTAGCAAGTTTTAGCATTTTATAGTTTTTATAATGGGTTATTCTCATTTATTTCAAGAAGTCTTAATAAAATAAAACTAAATTGCATTTATAATGTATATGTAGATTATAAATAAATTGAAATATGAATTAATTTTATTGTGATCCTGTAAATAATACAAAATCAATTTCGATTAAAATGCTTCATCATTTCAGAGAATAATCGCTCTGGTAGTTGTCCTTTTCGTTATTTATCAGGAACAATATTGAGTAATTGATTTAAATCGCTATTAACAAATACGGTAGATGGTCTGACCTGGACGTTATTCATTATATTTTAAAGTAGGTATATACATATAATTAGATTTTAAGTATTTTTTTTTAAATAAAATTTAATCAGATAATTTCGTGTAATTAAAATAATTATTTACAGGGTTGTTGGCGTAAGTTTGGAGCTATTGAATATTAAAAGTGAAAACTTTTTGCGAAAAATCATTTTTAAAGTTAAATAATAAGAAGAATAAAAAGAATCTTAAAAAGAAAATTATTTCAATACATTAAGTTACGGACTATATAAATTTTTCTACTACAAAATATTAATATCTCATGTACGCCTGGTGGTATGCAATATTTTCTTTTTTTTTATTAAATTTGTTTTATATAATAATTGTGTATATTTTTTGTGCAACTTTGAAAGACTGTGAACTTTTTTAACTTTAAATAAAATTTTACGGTATTAGAAAATTTAATGTTTTTACGATATTAGGATATAAATTTTTATAAAAAAACCCAAAATTAATATATACTTATTTGATAAAAATATGACAAAATATTTATATATAGCTCATAGTAAGTAGATGAAAGGATACTTAGATTGCCAAGATTATCTCATTTTTTTCTATGTATATTGAGTTGAGGCAATAATATTCTAATAGTTTCATCTTAATTAAAATTTTGTGTGCGGGTATGTGTTGTTCAATTTTGCTTTAATATTAATGATTTTTTTTTTAATTTTTCATTTATTTAAAATTGAAAACATTTTATTAAACATTTAGGATAGCTAGACATTTAGACGATGAAAATTTGAAGGAAATAAAATAATAAAAATAAACAAGAAAAATAATGAAATTTTCGCTCAAATATACTTTTATTATTATTAAATGAAAATATCGATATTGTAAATTGTTTTCCGTAATATTTACAAAATACAAAAAAAAAAAGAACAAAAACAATACCGAAAATATTTTTAAAAATCCATTTAAAAAATTATCTTATACTTTAAATCAAAGAAAAAGGATCACAGGATTTTAAAACATTTGCAAGAATTTTTCTTCTTTCTTCTTCTTGAAGTTTTTAAGTTTCCTTTATATATTTTGGTTGTTATTTCCTATTCGGAAATATTTTTATATTAAAAGGAAAATAATAACAGGGGAAAAAAATGATTTTGGTTGAGTAAACAATGTGGCCTTTTTTTTTTTTGAATAAAAAAATGAAAATTCATTTTTCATTTTTGTGGTTTATAAAAAGATAAGAAAATAAGTGGTTAAAAATTATAAATATCTTTTGAAAAATTCCGGATATATTTTTAATATCCTGGACATGGACCTAATACAGACATACATTATATTAGTAATGTTATAGATTGAAAAATTGTTTCTCGATTTTTATTGAAATATTATAAAAAATAATGACATAATAGCTGATATGTGGTCTACTTACATTTATAAACTTGTGAGCTAATATTTTGTTTATTATTGGAAAATTTAAAATATAAAATTAATATGTTTTATATTTTCGGGATAAAAGATCTTAAATATTTTAAAAAGAAATCTTAATATAAATTTCATTTGTTTTTTTTTTATAAAATGTTGGGTGTAATATCATAATTGAATTTAAATTTTATAGTAAAATAAAGAATATTTTAATTTTATTTTAAATGCAAAAATAATGGTTGTTATTACAAAGTATTTAATATGTCAAATACAGTAGAATTTATACATAATGAACTCTTCTTATAAATGAAAATTTCAATATTTAAGGGACAATATCACTATATTACGTTACAAAATGAACAATATCATTGCATGTTCTGTGATAAATTCTATGATTTATTTTAGGGAAATTAATTATTTTGTTTTCAATTTTACTTATAATAACCTACATTACGTGTATATTATTGCCATAAATCTATTTTAATTAAATTTACATTAATTGTCTAAACATTTGGAAAATATATTTGTTTTGGTAGCTGTTAATTATTTTACAATTATATACTTTATTACAATATATTATAAAATTTCGTGAATTCTAATTTAACATTTATTGTACAAAAAATGTTCGTTTATATTAATTAAAATATGGTATTTGTGTCTTGTGCAATTTGAAAATTTTAATTTCAAGAAAATAACAAGTACCATACCATATTTTTCTTTCTTAAATTACAAAAAAGAATTTTAATACAAAATGATAGAAACAAATTCTTAGTAATACTATAATTATTTTATAATTACATACATAATTTATTAAATATTTTACATTATTTACGTATTTATAAATTTTTTACATTATTTATGTATTTATAGTTCTGAATTTAAAATAAAATTTTTAACAAATATTATATAATTTTTTTTTAATTCTAATCAATACATAATTGTCGAAATTGTCCTTCCATTTCATAATTTTTCGGTTGATTTTTTGGTCTTTTATCATCATTGATCTTCCAATACTTTGGATCCATTAAATAGTCCCTAAAATAATAAAAAATTTATTATTAAAAAATATACAAAATTTGTAATTGAAAATTCAAATTATTTTTAAATGGACTGGTATGTAGTTTGTATTTAAGACTGGTATGTAGTATAGACTATATAACAAAACCAACACTGTAATAATATTATGTGTATAAATACTACAGGTTGAGTTAGATTAGGTTGACACGATTATTGTTAGATACACTCAAGCAAGAAACAAAATAGACTCGTTGTGATATTGCTTAATTTTCATAAAACGGTTTAGATCTCTATGGTATTTACACAAACTAGGTCCGTAATCCGCAAAAAGAAATACGACCGAAAGAAACCACCGTCTTCCTCGTGCCAAAATTGGACTTGGTTACAGAAGATGACGCAAGTTGTATACGTTATACTATCATTTTCAATGAATATTTTTTTATATTTAATGAAAACCTTTTTGATTTTAAAATTTCCACTTCACGTTGCTTTAATTCTTCCATTGTTCCACCATTTCCACCATATTCATTTGGTAAAATACTTTTTTCAATGAATTCATATAGGGTTTCTGAATTTGGTTGATGAAAATGTAACTAAAAGAAAAATTATAATAATTATTTTAAAAGGTAATATTAAAAATTTTTTATAAAATAAAAAAAAAATCATACCAATTTAAATAATTCTGCAGATATAAATGGTTTTAATATTGCTAAAATTTTATCAATATATGTTGGACAATTGATCATATGAACAGCAATTATTTTTGATGATATTCCTTCAGTAGCAAAACGTAAAAATGCTTTTAATGTTGTGAAATTATATTTTGATAAATGTTTTAAAGTGAATCCTTTCATATCAAATATAATAACTTCTCCATTTCCAATATTTGCTATCTCAGAAGATGCAGTATGTGCATCCGTATACATTAAAAATAATTTTGTAAGTTCTGTATATAGAAACTAAAATTATAGGAAAAAAAAATTATTAAATTTTTAATTAAAAAATTTATTATGAATATTTAAATTCCAAAATAATTTAAAATTGTAGGGAGTTGTTTTGCTTTGCTCTTTAGCAACTATACTGACATTGAATAAGCAATATTTTTAAATGTGTTTAGAATATTTTCTTAGTTAGAAGTTTCGTTGGTGCTTTAATTCCGATCCTGGGTTTCTATGTGTATATATACAAAGAGGCAGTTCTATAAAGAGACGAACGTTTCAACTGTTGTGAATCTGACGTCCCCGGCTCTAACTCTGAACCCGACTCCGACCCCGACTTTGACTCTGACTCTTGCTCTAACTCCGACTTCGACTCCGAATCTGACACTGAGTTTGACTCAGACTCCGACTATGAGTTCGACTCCGAATCTGTCTCTGAGTCCGACTCCGACTCCGACACCGATACCGACTCGGACTCCGATTCTGACTCTGACTCTGACTTCGACTCCGACTTCTAATTCAAATTCGACTCCGGATTAAATCGCGACTTTAAACCGACTCCGATTACGACTCTAACTCCTTCCCTTCGATTGCTTGATTCGGATTTTTGACTTATATTCCTCGACCTCTACTACTTGATTCTGAATTTTTGATTAAAACTGCTTGAATGACTGACTCTCGCCTTTAACTCCACAGTTTTGTGTAAAACTGCAACTTGCTTCGACTTTTCAACTTCGAAGTCGATTTTATTGCCATGAAGTGAGCACAATAATTATTATTCATTTAAAGCAGCTGTCAACTTTCAAACGCTAGTGAAAAATTTAAGTTTTATGAAATGGTTATATGTTCTGAAATCAAGAGAGCTGGTTTTTGCAAAATTACACATAAAAATTTATATTTATTTTTTCTATTTAAATGTTTTAACTATATTAATAAATAACCTGCATAATTCTGATATTTTTACTCTAATTTTTTAAATGACATAATCTCAATTTGGTTTTAAACAAAAAAAAAAACATAACCAATTTAACAATGATTATTAAATAAATCTTATATAATTTAAAAATTAAAATCACTTTATTGTCTATATACAATGTGAAAAGAATCTATTAAATAATTTAAGTTAACGACTTGATCATATTTGCAAGTGATTCAGAATTGGAACTTAAAATAATAATAAATCGGACTCTTGGAACACGTCACAATTACAATTTTCTTTTTTTTTTGTTAATATTTTCATGCTATGTGATTTTGATGAATAAGTATCGGTTTCATCACCATAAGTGAAAAAACTAAGAACGTAGAAAGACTAGAAGTGGAACTTGTTCGAGTAATAATTGTTCCATACCTGACTTGTTCGAGTGAGATAGCAAAATACCTCCAAGTAATAAAAGAAATAAGATAAATACTAAATTTAAGTTTTATAAATGAGTACATAGTTTAAAATTTCGAGAACAAATAAAGTTTTTTGACTAGATTTTGGGCAGTTTTTAATTGTAACCACAGAATATTATACATGTATGAACAGTTAGGTATACATACATTGGAAAATATTGGAAATAGTAGAATTTTACTCTATTTTAACAAAATTTAAAAAAACTTTTGAATTTATAATAAATTATTACTAAAATTCATTGTAAGACCAAGCATGGAGAACTAATATGCATACTTATATGGATTTATTTTATTCAAATTTTTGAATTTTGTTATTCGAATTGTGACTTTAAACTCGTGGAGGCGTTTTAAAATTGCAAAAAAAATTTTTGTTTTTTTTTTTTTTATTAAAAAATATTATTCATAATTTTAGTATCACCCCAGTGTTGTTTTCCTAATACAATTTCATTTGATACATAAAACAATTTTATAAACCCTAGTCAACTGTACGTGCAGTATATAAGTAATATTGTTGTTTATTTTGCAAAATTCCCTTATTAAAATATTTTGAGCTTTCTCTTATACAACTTGCAGGTTACATCATAATTTTCAAAATTATTATAGTTGACCGATTTGTGTAGATTATAATAAATTTTTTGTATATAGTTTAGTAAGTCAATTGGATTTATTTTTAAAATATTTTAATGGTTTGTATAATCAGAAAATTGAAAAAAAAAAAGAATTATTTTCTTTGAAACGTGCCTCATTATTTTATTATGATGTCATAATATGATAATAAAAAAATCTTGGAGGAATTAAAAAATATTATAGTTGAAAATTATTTAAAAGGGATCATTAGCGCTATAGAGGTAGAGTTGACCATATCAACTTTGTGTTAGCTGCACGAATGAATGATTTTAATAGTTGTGTGAAAATTGTCAAACCGTATTGCCAAATATAATGGCCGTATTACATAATTTATTTGAAAAATTTCGGCAAACATAACAACCCTAATAATATATTTACTTCTGCGAAATTTTCATACTGTTGCTTCTATAATATCTGAGATATAGCAAAATAACTTTTGAAGTTGCATGACACCTATTACTTCTTCAATCACTTTCAATTTAAATATGGTTCTGGTATTTGCTACAAAAAAAAATTTGTGAACATTTCGTAAACGTACAAGGGTAAATCGACTTTCAAGTCGACGTTGATCAAAAACATACACTTGCGTCTATATCTAACACCGTTATTTTTTAGCGTTACAACAGAAGTGAGAACTTTATAACACCCTTCGAATATACGTTCATATACAGGTATAGAAATATAATATACTTACTTTATCAGGATCAGGATCACCTAATCGACATAATCCTACTCTATTACCATAAGCATCTAATTTTTCCAGTACAACAAAATCTCTGCAAATTAAATTTAAATTTTTTAATTAGTTTTTATATTATTTATAATGTTCATTATATTATTTTTAAGATAAATTAAAATAATATGGTTAAAGAAAATTAATTTTGTGTTTGCAGATTAGCATGTTTTGAATGTGTAATTAAGATTAAGATCTATTTTTAAGAATGCTATACTATGGGAGGAAACTGAGAAAACTAAAAAAATTAATTTCCAAATGAAATTTTAGCTATTAAGCCACACTATATATGGTGCATTGCAACGTTAATCTTGTTTTTTTTTGTTAAATTCTTAGATTTACTTGGTTGGAATTAAGCTCCCTATTTCAAAGAATTATGACTAAGATATTAAAATTTCTTAATCTTTTATTTCTAATCCAAGAATAAAAAAAAATCTTCATATTTTCTAGCCAAAATAGCATAAATGATCACACACGATGATTTTCGCTTGCCTATTATTACGAATAATTATTAGATTTGATATTTTAATCACGTTCCTGTTTCAAAAGATGTCCGAATGTACATATATTGTATAGTATGTGCTTCTATTATTAAAAATGTATGTATATGTATTTAAATTAGATAAATAATATGGATAAGGAAATATTATTTATGCGATTATCATAATTTATTTCAAGGTAGGTAGGTCTATAAAATATTTCTTACAGTATATGATTTAAGAATATATTTTAATGATATGTAGTTGGCTTATATTAGTTCAGGAAAATTGTTCTACTATGGCGTTATTAGAATAACAAGAAACATTCTATTGTAGTTTTAGAAATTTTAGAGAAAAATTTTAACAAACTTTAATTTATATAGAATGAAATGAACAAATCACCCATCAAATATAAAATAAGTATATTGTAGAGTCTTCCTCATGAGACTGAGTATATATAGTTAAAGATTCTATGATAGCCTCTAATACTTCGCATTATTTCATGCAATTAATTTACAGAACTCACTGCGAAAAGGACCTGTGGGTATGTTGCAAACTATACCCAAAGGCCACAATTCCGCAAATAAATTATTTACGTCTTTGAACCTATTAACTATTCTTATAAGATTACAATATTATTTTAATTTATTAATTATTTCAATATAAAATAAATATTTTACATAATAAATCAAAAATAAAACAAGTATTTTTGTAATGCAATTTTAAAATCGTTCATATATAATGTAATTTATATAAAACATTTTAAAAAACAGCATTTATATAAATGGAAATTTTATAATTTTTCCATTTTTTCCAGATTTGAAATGTTGTATTTTTTTAAAAGCACTTATAATGCAATTTAAACGCAATTAATTATTTATGAATTAAAGCATTTGCATATAGCTTGAAATAAATCTGTTATACACTTGCTTCTACAAATAAAATTCTATATAAAAAAAATAAACAATTGCAATGAGGCTTATAATTGAATTTGTAATGATTTATGAATTTAAAAAAATAAATATTTAAAATGACAACAAGATTCTTAAAATCCAAAGATAAAATTGTCATTTTGTATAATATTATAGATGCAAATATAAATTATTAATGTAGAAAATAAATTCAATCTAAATTCATTGCACCCAATTGGAGACTGCACCCAATTGCAAGTAGATCGTGAGTTTAAATATATATATTTATATATGTTTTAGGTTGCACGTAAGTACTCAACTTTTACATATAATATTATAGTCAAAATATATACATACTATTCGTTTAACTCAAGAGAAATGTACATTTTAAAATGAGGTGAAATAATGTGACTTAGGTGAAGTGAGAGGAATGTGAATGAGTATCGTATATAATTTACTCAATACAATAATCTATATCGTATCTATATAGTATCGTATAGAAAAAATAAAATAATCTATTAAGAGTATATGAGAATGTTAATTAGAAATGTAACAAATTTAATTGATAAAATTAGAATTCTAATTTGAAAAGTGATTAAGTAAGTGAGTTAAAGAAGGAGGCTCTAGTTTTCACCACATAAGTTTGAAAAGAATTATATTAAGCAGTTTGCAATACATAAGTTCTCATATATAACGAAATTTTGCTATTATTATACTGGAAATTGATAAGAGAGAATGCCTACGTATATCACATGTACTGAGAGTAGTTCATGAAACAGTCCCTAGAGTACTTAGCGGAGATAGCAACTCGATAGTAATTATTTTTTCATGTAAAATTTTTAATTTGATCTTTTTTTACATTTTGTTTCTAAAATCATGAGAGTAATAAAGTGCTGATTAAGTCATTTGTGATAATAATAATATTTACATAATATCGTATATTCTATAACGCTATACGTGTGGCCTTTAACGAATAACATTCAATGAATGTTTATAAACGAATCGTCAGCAATATTATATTTTTTAAAAAAAATTTAAACTATTGTTAGTGCCATATAGTTGCTTGTATTATAAATAAAAATATCTTTCGCTCTCTATGTGACTAAATAAATATAGCAGTAATATGTTTGCTTAAGTGTCAATTAAGCAAAAGAATTCATGAGTCGTAGAATCACGATCTAAATATGAACAAATATACTAATATACATACATAATATGTATATTGTAAGCTTATGATATTATTGTTAAAAATTTTATGAAAATTATTATTTTTTTTATTTCAGTTTTATATATTGACAATAAAGAAAAAAAAATTCTATAGTGATAAAAAAACGTGATGTAAATAAAACCGATACCGTTTTGGAGAAATGAAAGCTTCCATATAAGTATAAGCTATGAGCTATACGATGATTAAGAAGTGAAGAAAATAATATTTCCGAATTATGTATAATATGTGTGTATATAATGTGAGTATAGTTTGTGTATATGTATATGATATATAACGTACAGGTATGTTATACATTATAATAGTTGATCGTAAAAGAAAATATAACACAATAAAGTAATATTTTTAATTTCTTAATTGGCATAATTTTGTATTTTTCTTTATCAGGTACAAGGTATATATATATATATAAGCCCCCCCAATTGGAATCAGATATAAATGTATAGAAAAAATAAATAAAAAAATAAAAGTTATAAATATAAAAAATAAAAAAAAAAATGTCCAGAAACACCGTTTATACATACATGTATATGTAGGTGCATATAAGTACATATAGAGTACATACATACCTACATAAGTAATAAGTACATTGAAAGAATTCTCAATAAAAAAAGAAGAAAAAATTTGAAGATTAAAATGGAATAATATGCCAATTGATCAAATATTGTATTATCGAACACAAATTAAAATTTAAAATAACATACTCAAATATTTTGGTGAGTAATAATTAATTAATAATAAAATTGACACATCCGTAGTGCTCCCAAATGGCCGAACCGTCGAAAATATTTTGCTTTTATGGATAAAAACTCATAGACTATAAGTACCATGGTATTAAAATGCATTAAATTTGATTTAATTAAAGAGCTCGCATAGGAATTTAATAGATTAGGCGCTCTACGATATTAATAATCTGAGGAATTTTAAAAATTCGAAAATTTTAAAATAATACTTCAAACTTATTTATATCTTACTGTACTGACAAGTGTACAGTGCGCAACTCTTAAAATGAAGAAATAAAATAAAAATCACTAAATCCTCTGTCTCCAGAGGAGAGCCAGTGTCCAAAAAAAAAAAAATTAACCCTGGCGTGAATTGTAGTTTTAAATTCGCTTTTCTTTTAAGTGGAATCTGAGCAAGTTTAAGAAAAAATTGACGAGAACAAGCGACAAAGCATATTGCTAACGCTAATTCATGCCTTTTTTTGACTGAGAAAAAAAATTGAACTGCTATTTTGTTGGCATTTTTTTTATATCATTAATTTTTTTTTTTTTTTTTTTTATTAAAATAAAACAAAAAACAAGTGATCAATGAATTTTAATTGAAGCAAAACGAGAGAAATTAATAAAAGAATTATAAATTTTACTCAATTTACTCTACTTTTTGTTGTTAGTTCGCTAGTTGATGTTTTTGTACGTTTACGATAATTTAATTCCAATAACAATTTTTGCAGTATAAAATTAAAGAAATCAAATTCCTAACAATCAAAATTCCATAACAAAATGGTCATTGATCTGTTGTATGTATATGCTTCATTTACGTTAATATTCACTTAAAAAATTTTTTTTAGAGGCACTCCTCAATTTCATGCAAAATTTGTTAACAAAATTTTGTTATTTTGTTTTTATTTTTTGTTTTTTAAATTTGTTTTATAAAAATTTCCGTTTTTAGAGTTGTTAAAAACCACGAAAAATTAAAATCAATATTATCTTGCACATCCGTTCATATACATTATGTACATTAAGTATATCAGTAATTAAATTACGATATAATAAATTTTGCGGTTGAAATTAATTTTTGTTAATTGGTACAAAAATTGAATATTACTTATCGTAAATCAAAATAAAATTTCAAAAAATTTTAATTAAATTTGAGGTAATTTTCAAAAGTGTAAATTAATAAGTAGATAAAATTATATAATTTTTATTCAGTCCCGGTGTCACTTGTTTGGTGCCCTACATAGATAAGTACATGGAATTAAAATTTCACTATAAATAGAAAGAACAAAGTGTTTGACGAAAACACGTACTGGAAAATGTTGGAAAATTTTTGTGTTTTTTAAAATTTATATATTTTTTTTTAATGTTTTCAATGGCGTCACTGTTTTCCGTCGTCCTTTGCAAATACTTATTTAGCATATATTGTAGATCCGCCGCTGTACTTTTTCAATATAAATAGAATTTCAAATCTTACATGTATAATTGTATAAATTTCAATATTTAGAAAGTTCTTTTTTTACAAAGTAGAAGCTTCAAGATTTATTGATAGATAAGATTAAGTGTATACTATCTTAAAAATAATATTATAAAACTCAAATATTGATAGTTGTAGTTACGTTAATATTATTATAATTGAGGTAGGAGGAATGATATTAAATTTAATTCAATATAATAATTTTTTCATAATTACATGTAATATTTTACAAAATAGCACGTTCTTCTCTTAATTTACGAACGATTTGTAACGAATAATGTGAAAAATATCAAGTAAATCAGTCAAATGTTATTTGTGTTCCTAATAAGCCCAAGTTATGCTGACGTAATTAATCAAGTAGGAGTTATGTTTAATCTTGGTTTAGCGCAATATATTTTTATCGTGATTATGAGCTCGATTTAGCTCATTTTGGAAAAATATTAGAGAATTTATACAAGTAATCAAGTAATTTTTACAAAATTCTTTCAATCTGTTCAAAGTGTTTTGGATCCAATTTAATTTAGTCATACATACAATATGTAAATTAATATTTTATAATCCTAATTCAAATGTAGTTTTTCAGGGATCTCATAAATAGTAGACCACAAAATGTATATAAACAAATTGTGATGAACTCAATGTGTTGTGGGCATAAATTTGAAGTACTTTTATATACAATATTCAATAAAATCATAATAAAAATATGGTTACTTTTAATTAAATATATTTGTTGAACAATAAATTTTCGTTTTTTTTTGCAAATCATCTAATTATAGCCTATTTATTAATTTTATTGAGCAAAGATTAGTATTTTTGATAATTTAAATGCAATTTGTTTTTAAAATTAAAATTATAATATAAAAAATGTAAGCAGATAATTTACTAATTCCCGAATTTTTCGTTCTTCCTATTAAAGTATCTTGATTTCTGATAAAATGAAAGAAAATTTTCTTATATAGGATTTTTAAATATTAATTCAAATTTGAAATAATTTTCTAATTTACTCTGAATTCCTGTACATTCGATTAAATTTTTCTGATTTTGGTAAGCTTTATTTAGACTTTATCACGTCCCAACTAGATTTAGTTAGATTTTTTGAACTTTATAAATTTTCAAGTAAATCCTCATATCATTTACCTGATCATTTATGATTAATTTTAATATATTCTTAAATATTGAAAATTCCTAAAAAAAAGTACATGGTTTGGTGTTTAGTAATGAAATATTTTAAAAAGACTAGAAAAATATATTAATTATTAATGCTATTATACTTACAATACATCCAATAATGATTGCATTGTTGAACTATTAAGATCACGTTCCATAAATAAATTTGGATATGAATTACGTATTGTATAATTAGTATCAATTAATTTTTTTGTTTTATCCATATCAAGATCACATATTTTTAAGAATCTTTCTTTAACATTCTTTTCTGAAATCATATACAAATTTCCGAACGTATAAGTATATAAAAATTTTGAAAAAAGAAAAAATTTAAAAATTTAAATTTATTTATTTAAAATTACGATCATAAATTTGTAATTATATCCCAATTTTGTTATTTATTTAAATTTTTGTTGTATTTACCTATAATTGGTAAATGTGGTTGAGTTTTAAGCCATGCATCTAAATGCGGAAGTGCTTCATCAAAATTTTTATAAATAACCATTTTTTTTCTTAGTATGTATATATACAACGATATAAACGGTAATAGAACAGTAATAGAACGGTTATAAAAATCTGAACTAATTAAAAATGATCGTGTACGTATATGAAATTCACGGTCAATTTAAAATTACAAAAAAAAAGAAAAAAACAAAAATAAAAAAAAATTAAATTTATTTTCTTTTATTTTAAGCCAAGCTAAGCTTTTTCTTTTTAAAAATATTTTCAATTTTCAAAGAATTAGAACTATAGCATTCAAAGTGCGCGACACAACTGATTTTAAATTTTCTTTACTTAGTCATCATGTTATTATAATGTTACATTAAAAGGAAGAGAGAGAGAAATTTCGATTGTCGTAGATTGCTTTATTATTTTCTCTGTTTTGGTTTTGTGGTTTTAAAACTTTTAACTATGGTTTAATGTTTTTACTGCTATGTGATAATATGTGTACAATATGAAAATTATGGAAAGTGTAAAGCGTGTTTATTTTGAATGCCTGGTAGAATTTACTATATAACTACAGAAAAAAAACTCAATACTTTCTATCTCACAAAATTTGAATTTTGTTGGCTAAAATTTGTCGATAAATCCCAACGTAAATTATATTAAATTCAAAAATAAATTTCGGGCACATCGCCTGCGCATCTTTTCTCAACGAAGGATATTGTAAACGTTCCACTCATTCGATGTATACCAGGAGTGTGAAATGATTAGTGATTGTCTATTTTTTCGAAATTTACTTATGATTCAGTACCGATGACAATGTATACTTATAATAAATATGAAAAAAGGAAATTTGTACATGATAATCAGTTCGACTTTTAACACATTCACATAATTTTCTTGTTAAGCAAAGAAACATGCTGTGCAAATTTAGTTTATAATTCAGTATATGACTGTACATGAGTAATAATAAGTATATGTAATAAGTGTGATATGCCGACTTAAAAAGAATTTAGAGAAATTTAAATTGTGCATAATTATGTTTGTAGTTGTATGATATGAGCATAAAAATTTAATGAGAATAACCTTGGCATTAACAAATTTTTTGTTTCTCTTATATTTTTGTTTAAATTTGATTCTTTAATGCAAAATTTATGAAGTTTATTTTCGACTAGACATTTTGATATTCAAATATTGTATGAGAAGATTTTTAATAATGGTTGAAGAAGTTAAGAAAAAGTCATGTTATAAGAATTTCTGCCAAATGTTTTTGGATATATGTGAATATTTGTATACATATACATTTGGTCATGCGAAATTTTTCGCCATGGACACTTAAAATTTGTATAAAAATAAATTGAATATAATCGTAGCTAACGCACATTACAACTGTGTGAGTAATACCGTTATATACACAAATATAACAATAATGTCATCCTAAAAAATTTTAAATTGAGCTAAATTATAAACAAAAACTAATATAATAAATAAGAAATAATTATATACATAAGTACAAACATTTATGAATGACAATAAAATACTATTTAGAAACTATGGTATGGCAATAAAGTATTGGTATAATTGACTATCGAATTACTGTATTTAAATAACAACAAAACTTTTAATTAATATACAACATAATTATATAGTTCAAATGGCTTGCAAAAATGGGTACACATCATATTTTTTTATATAATTATTAAACTTGACATCTATTTTTTTAATCGAAACGAAATTGTATTTATCATGGTTGACTGGTAAATTTAATTCATAGTTATTTAATATCAAACTGATATAATGATGGAGGTGATTTACTTTTAAGAATATTTGGAAATAGTTCTATTTACATATATGATATGTATCTGTATGTAAATTAAGATAAAATTTAAGAAAACTATACATGAGGTTTATTCAAAATAAACGTTTAGTCAATAATAAGTGAAGTTTTGTAATTTAGTAGCTAGCGTATTTGTATAATTGCTGCTTCGTAATGTTAACGTATGTAAGAGTTTAATTTTGAAATAGTATTTTGAAAATGTGTTTTAAATTTTAAGTAATTTTTAATAATCATGTAGAATATGTGGAACGTGGTTCACATTTTGACTGAAAGTAAGTTTTATTTAATCTGTTAATAGTAAATAGTATTTAAGTTCTCTATATAATTTAATAATTGTTGACACATCATTTTTTCTGTTTTAAAATATTTAAATTTATGATGAAAAGAAATGTTTGTATGATTTAAGTATAAAATATCTTATATGTATATAATCTAATCTAGACTAGGTTAGAAAAAAAAATTATTTTATTTTTTTTAGTCCGCCAGAAAAACGAAATTAAAAAAAAAAAAAATTTTTTATTCTATATTATTTCCCCACTTGACCATATTTAGGACACTCAATTTTCGCTTCTTTGGACCTATTTTGGGGTCTGGACCCTAGCAGAATTATTTTTCATAGAGGTCCTCGAACAAAATTTGTAGAGCATGTAAACACCTTTTAACCAACAGTACCTACCCCACTTGCCTACATTTAGAAGTTTTGGTATGTTATTTAAGAATAACGCAGCTAAATTTTCAAAAATCTTATTATGGACACGAACCATTTGTGTGAATTAATTTGTGTTTGCAAAAATTAAATCCAATTTTTCACGATAAATATCATTATCACTTGAAGATTCTATACTTAGAATAAACCCCAATATATTCATATTTTAAAAATTAAATAATTAAAAGCTTTAGCTGTAGCTCTCAAAGTAAAATGATTAAAATTAGTCGGAAATTAAATTATTTATTTATTTTTTATATGTATATGAAATAATTTCATGGATAAATTTTCAAAAATTAAATTTTTGATTTTTTTTTTCATAATGTGAATTAAAATTACTGTTAGGAAACACATTCCACATAAATTTTCTATGAAAAGTAATGAAATTAAAAATGTTTTATTCTTAAATTTCAATATTTAATAAAAAATTGCATATATGTAGGATAACATTTTTGTGTAATGCAATATAAGAGTTCAGGCTGACATGAAATTTTTAGTTTTGCAACTGTTTGCTTGCTTATTTGTATTCTATAGGTTTATATTAAAGTTCACACACATATGATTGAATGATAGCAATTAATTTAGCAATCAAACAGTTTGCAACTTTTGACAAACTGATTGCAATATTTATGTGAACACAAGCGATTTGAATTGATGCAATAGTGTAGTAGCTTAAATGGGCGCGCAACGAATACATACGGTTACATTTTTTGTTCCATTTTATATAAGAAAAATATCCTATAAAGTAAAATAGTTGTACACAAAAATTTTTTAGTTAATTTTTTTTTAATTTTTCCAATTTTCCATTAGTTTATCTTCACCTAAATTATAATATACAAGTACACAATTTTATCCTAGTGATCTAAAGTATGTGCACTTTACAAAATATATAAAAAAGATAAATTACAATTTTAATCTACACTTAAAGATCTAAAATTTCCTTGCATATTTTCAAATTGTGATTTTCTACTATTTGCTGGCCTCTTACTTTCATCAACAAACCAATATTTTGAATTAAAAATATAATCTGCATTCTCTTTAAATACTTTTAAATTTTCTCTTTTGATATCATCTATTGAACCTTTTGTACCATTAATTTCGATTGGCAAAATATCCCTTGGTATATAATCAAATAATTCATCATTATTTGTTTCATGAATCACAAACTAAAATTAATAGAAAAAACTTTTAGTTTGATTATTATTAACTCTCTTTCAATTTACTAATCATACTTGTATAATTAAGAATCAAACTTTAAATCAAACATTAAGTTTACCTTCTTATATGTTTTTTCTGTTATAAATGTTCTTGCCATTGTTACTATTCTACTAATAAATGTTGGGCAATTGATTATATTTGATCGTGGTATTTTAATAGATATTACATCTTCCATATATTTTGTTAGTACTCTAGCAGCAGAAAAATCAACACGTGTTAAATGTTGTAAAGTAAATTCTTTTAAATCCAATATAAGATAAACTCCATCTGGTGTCTTATCCATTGGAAAAACTCTTAAATGTGCATCAAGAACAGCTATAATAAATCGAACTTGTTCAGTATAGTTGTACTGTAAATTAGAAATGTGTAATATATATAGGAAACATATTATAAATCTTACATAAGTGACATCAGGACTTCGGATTCTAAAAATTGTGACAAGATGATTGTCAGGTGTTAAATCTGGTAGTAAAATAAGATCCCTGGAAAATATATAATATTGTGATATTGTAAAATTCTATTCAAAAAATCAAAGTAAAATTTCAACTTATAAATTTGTAGTAGTAATTTATATTGCCGAAAAACTTTCACTAGTTAAAGCACGATGCTCGCTTTCTGAACAATTCATAATGTATATAGGATGCTTCGCATAGGGAGGCAAATAATTTGAGGAATGATTCTTTGATCAATTTCCAGCAAAAAATTATATGGGTTGGTGTATGAGATGTGATATGCAGGTAAGTATACTGGTTTTCGAGTTACAGCCTGTCGAAAAAAAACAGGTTGCAGATTTTTCCTATTTATAAATAAATGCTTATAACTTTGGAACTATACGGCGTAGAGTAACCATCGCGAACTTGTTTCACAGATATTGATTTGAAAAAAATGAATCAATATTCAATTACAAACTACCGACCAAAATAAATGAACGCAATATTTAATTTCTAAAATTCTGTCTTACTTAACTAAATCTCTATCTTATGAATATTTTATGGAAAAATAATTCTTCCTTTGTTTTCTTTTCTTAGAATCCCGTATAATACTTACAAAATTTCATTTAATTTTTCAAATGCTTTTGAATTAACATCACGATTTCCAAATATTTGTGGATTATTTGTTCTAAATGTGTAATGTTTATCAATTAAAATTTTTGCTTCTTCAACATCACCATCACAAAATACTATAAATGATCTTAATGGGCTGTCCTCTTTGAATTTAATAGAATTAAAAATTAAAAATAAAATTAAATTTTATCTTATAAGTTTATTAAATATAAAATTTATTAATTAAATTAAATTACCAATGATTGGTAAATGTGGTTGAGTTTTTAGCCAATGTTTTAAAACAGGAATAGCTTCATAGTGATTCTTATATTTGACCATATTTTTGTTTTATTTTAAATATTAAGCGAAAATATAAAGCGAATTTCGAGTGTTATTTACAACTTGGCAGTTTAAATAAGAGTGTTTCAATATTTTAGAATTTATTTTTAATAAAATATTAGAAAATTAAATTGTTATCGTTAAAATTACTGTATAAAAAATTAAATTCTTATAAAACCGGTTTTTATCTTGTTGTACTTGAATAATAAAGCTTTGTTTTTTTTTAAACGTCATTAATTTATTAGTATTCTTAATGAATTTTCTAAACATATGTTGTATAGTGTGTGAGTATGTCTACATTCATGTGTGCAATTCATAATATATGTGAAGAGACAAGTGTAAAGTACTGTATACTATTAAGAATGTTCTATATTTATAGCGGAAGCTCATATATACATATATATGTATATTTTATTTATATTATTAATATATTCTTATTATAATTATTATTTACTAATTGTTTCTATTAGCATATTAATTTCGTAATTATTATTGTGTACAGATTTCTAAATATTTTTGAAGGTTTATCCTTTGAATTTAAGTTGAAGTTTTGTACTCTCATTGCTACACTCTTATCTTGACTTAGAAGAGTGTAGCATAGTTGACATAATATGCCATAATTATGACATAATGTGGGAGATGCATAAAACAAAGTATTTTGAAGTATTATTGTTGATCACTCCTATAGAGATCTTTTTGACATCAATATAACGAAATATTATAAAATGGACCTTCGAATTAATCTATTAAAATTTTATATGAGTAGACAGAGCTGGTAGCAGTTGTTTGTTTATTTGTACTTCTATCCGTATCATTTTTGTTGGCTAAAAACTTATTTCATATTTTTTGAATTTCGAAAAATAAATGCGTAAATGGGGGCGATCAAACATTTTGTTTGATTCTTTAGTTTTAGTGTTATTATCAAAAAACAAATTTTTAGAATTAGCTCAAATAATTTTGTGGATTATGAAAATAAAAGCTAACGAATGTAATATAAAAATAAATTGGAATCATACTTAGGTGTTTGAATTTTATACCCTTCTATACATTCTTCATAATGTTCTAGTGGTTTATATTCTAAGGTTTGAAATATACAACATGAATTTAAATGAATGATTATGAAATTTATTCGGTAATGTCACGTATATTTTATTTGTGCATATGTCAAATTTTTCGAATTTAAAAAAAAAAAAAATTTAAACTAACAATATTATTTATTTTAAATCCTGTAAATAAATTAGTGTGTGAATAAAAATTTTTAAAGTAAAATAAACTAAGAGTTGAGGTTTTTATAAAAATTTTTAAAAAAGTCTTAAGATTTTTAATCTTTGTAGATACGAATGATAATTTCACAACTGGTTTGTGCATAAAATTAGTATGTTAATTGTATAGGATAGAGTCAAAAGTTCACTGTATACGTATTTTTCAATAAAATTAATTGTATTTCAAACAAGTTTTAATATAAATTTGTCATATATTTTCATTATACGTACATATAATTATAGAAAGTTGACAATTTTTTTGAGAGAATGAACAAGTCGTTTTTAGAGTTGCCTTATATTTTTTTAAGAGAATTTAATATAACACACTATCTATAGCAATCACACAAAATTTTCGAATTATGGCATGATCATACAAGAATTATGAAAGATCTTACGGAAAATTTAAATCACATCATACAAAATTTCAGTATGAGTGTGGTATGAAATATGTTCGGGATTCACACTACTGTTAGTTTTATCATAATTTATTTGGGAAACAAAATAAAATTTATAAATTTTTTAAGTTGATTTTCATTTAAAAATTTAATATACTTTCAAAATATTATAATACAATATATAACATTGAATTCATTTGTTTTGTTACACTAGTATTAAATTGTTAATTAAATTGTTGCATCCAACAAACTTCAAAACTCAACGTGTAAAGGTACAAATGACAAATCAATATTTGTTCGTATTGCAAAAAATTACTGACATAAACTGGTTATATAAGACTGACATTGTGCAGTCGACCAAAATAAATTTATTCTTAAAATATTAATTTTTAATTTTTGTTACACGAACAATGTTATTTTGATCATTTATGATTCAAACATGTATGCAAGTATAATTAAAAGTACTCGTATTTATTTGTAAGTCATCAGAAATAATAGTATGATATTGTAAAAAAAAATTTATATAGAATAAATTGATTTTGTGTCAAGAATGCAATATTATTAACAAATATGGAATTTAAATGATTTTATTTTTGCGTATACAAAATTGCTCTTAAATAAAATAAAATTAAAGCTTTTAAATTATTAATTTTATGATTTTATTAAACTATATACAAAAGTGATAATATCAAAAATTTATGATTTTTCAGGTGAATGAAAAATTGATCGATTTTTTTGAAACAGTTTTTGAAATATACATTCTATAAGAGGTAGTTAGTCTTACGCTATATTAGTGTTTCAATTTTAATTTTAAATTAAATTAAGAGCTTTTATGTTAGGGTATGTAGTTTGACATAATAATGACGCAGTTGTCCGAAGAAATGGTAACAAAATAGCCTATTTGTGTTAGACAGAGCGCTGTCCGGGACCGGCTAGCCTTCTTAACTATGATGACTAATAATGACTACGATGACTAATAATTTTTATTATTTACTCATTTTTTATTAGTACTACGGAAAAAAATTATGACACTACGAAACTTTTTATAGCAATTTATAGGATCTTTAGTTTTCTCTTCATCAAAATTTATTATTTTCATAATATCACTGTCGCTATGCATAACTTTCTTCATATAAAACAAAAATTTGAAAACATATATCATTTTTATTGGCATTCTGTACAATATCGTAAAAGTATTAGCAAAATCGTTTATGACAGCTGTCACTACAATATTATAAAAGTGATTTTATACTGTAAAATTTAATATTTATTGAGAAGATTAACATTTTATTGCAGAAAATTATTTTTAACTTTGATAATATTGAAAATCCCTGAAATTTTAATTAATTTCTTAAAAATTATAAAACTTGAACATACTCACTTTTTGCTTACAATGCTATTTTAATTATTTTTAAATAAATTGTACAATATTTTTTCGCAATAGCCATGACTGTATAAACTTTATACTTTTTTTCTTTTGTGACACAAATTAAACATTTATTTTGTTTAATCAAATAGAAATAATATTGTATAGTGTTCAATAAGCATTTTAAATTAAAATAGTATAACAATTTGAATTGACTTTGTAAATTAACAAAAAAAAATTCCATATAGATAAGACTTAGAATTAGTTAGATTAAGTGCAAAAATTGAAAACGGATTACAATTTTTTTAAGAAAATTTTGAAAATTCATATATAATTTTAGAAATTGTATTAAAAGAAAAATGGCAAATGATTTTCAATTTAAAGAAGAACTTGCAATATTATTTAATTGGTTACAAAATCAACCACATCTTCCGATAATTGGTAAATATTATTTTTTGTTCTTGTAAATATTAATTGCTTTGGTGATAAATTTGAAAATTTATTTTAGAAACATTACCAATGAAAAATTTCTTAATTGCATGTAATGGTAATTTAGATTCAGCTAAATCTTTAATTATAAAACAATATGAAATGAGAAATTATTATAAAGCATTATTTATTGAAAGAGATCCTTCAAGTGATGCTTCACGAGATTTTTGGAATATAGCGTAAGTGTATTGTGTATCTGAAAATTTACTACTTTAATTTTTTACTGAAATTTTCTAAATTTTTATTTATTTTTTACAGTGATACTATACTTTTTCCTGGTCTAACATCTAATTGTGGTAAAGTAATTTTCATGAGACTTAGAGATTTTGATGTTTCAAAGGTTTGTATAATAATTTTGAAATACGAGACTATGATATCAAGGACTTAGAAAAATTCCTCAGAAAAAAATCGGGTGACTTAATTGATGATGGCCCTGGTGGTCACTAGGGGGTAGTTGCAAAACAGCACATTTATGCTGATTGGGTTGCGGCTGAGCTGTCACCTCGGTGAAGTTGACCAACCAGCTTATAGTGAAAAATTTCATTGGGAAATTCTTTAAAATATTGGTATATAAAAATTCATTTGAAGCAAGTTATTACCAACCGTATTGCATAGAATGAGGAAGCTCATTTGACGGTCTGGGTTTTTTAAATTGTGGATAGGATGTTTTCGTCAATTTTTGAGATAAGTTGGGATCTCAGACACTTTACTACGGGAAGATCTCATGTTTTTGACTGAAAATTATGGCTTATAAATTGGATAATTATTAATAGATTTGAAGATTTAAACTAAAAAAAATATTTTTGATTTTATTTTTGATTTAAAAATTTTTATTTTCAGTATAATTTCAATGACAGTATTAAAATGATTATAATGTTCTATGATGCATTATTATCAGTTCCGGATCCATCTGGTATTATACCAAAAGAATATATATGTATATGTGATATGACTGGTTATTCATTATCACATATATTAAAAGTTAGTATATTAACATTAAGAGCATTTATAAAATTTTATCAAGAAGGAATTTCAATAAAAATAAAAAATATTCATATTATTAATTGTTCGGATTTAATAAATAGAATAATGACAATTTTAACACCATTATTAAATGAACGTGTTAAAAAAATGGTAAGCTACATTAGTATATATACAATTAATACAAATTTAATCACCACATTTAATGATAAATTTTTTTTGAATTTTTAAGATTATATGCCATTCACCAAATACTGAAACAATATTTGATTATGTACCAAAAGAAATGTTTCCATCTGATTATAATGGTAATAGTAAATCAATTCAAGAATTAAAAGATGAATCATGGAATCAATTTGAAACAACATGGCCATATCTTATTGATCGAAAATATTGGGAAATTGATGAAAGTAAACGTATAGAGCCGAAATCAGAAAGTTGGTTTGGTTCATTTGTTAAAGATTTTTGGTAGGGGGCAATATTACACTTATTATAATATATAACCATGTAATATAAATAAGATTAAGAGTATAATTGCAAGACTTTATATGTATATGATTCGTTTGTTTTATTTTAGAGATAACTATATTAATTTTTGGTGAATTTTTTAATAAAATGTTGAATAATTGTAATTTTATTATTATAATTATAATTAAGTAAAAATTTTTAGCTATAAAAACATAAATATTTTAATTGTTGAAATAAATGAAGAAAATTTTTTGAAAATTATTATTATGATAGACCGTGTTTTTACTCTTAAAAGTGTAGATCGAGTAGATTCACGTTTAATTTTGTTTATAGAGAAAATATCAAAGTTTAAACGAAAATTGGAATATTTAATTGTTGTGTCCGATCAAATTTGGGATTAGTTTATCTATACCTATACGAGTATATAATCTTATTATAATATTAAAGCCTAGGCTAGAATTATGTACAGCCAATAACAGTCTAGTTATTATTATTTAAACATTAGAATATTTCTTATTCCCCACAGATTAACTTTTGTTATATTGGATATTCTATGAAGGCTCTAGACTCTATATGAAATTTTTAAAATTTTTAATTTTTATAATTTTATTGAGTTAGATATAATAAAAATCAAAATATTAGCCCAGTTCAAAATAAGTATTCATGCAATAAAAATTTATTTTTAAAAATAATTGTTAAAAGAAACAAAATTCCATTTAAAAAATTATTTTACACTACATATTTAGATTTAAAAGTATTTTAAACTAAATTCTAATTAATCTAAATTTAAATTTTGAAAATCTTTTTCAATTTTTGGTACAATTTTATCTTTATGTTTCCAATAATTTAAATCTATTAAATAATCACGATGTTTTATTAAATTTTCCCTTTGTTTTATTCTTAATAATTCTAATGATTCTCCAGTACCACCGAATTCAATTGGTAATAAATCTTTTGAAATATATTTAAATAATGTTTGTGAATTTGGTTGATGAAAATTGATCTAAAATTATATATAAAATTAATTAATTTTTTTTATTTTTTTTAATTTTCAATATTTTTATTTAGTATAGTTACCATTTTATTAATATGATCAGCCATAAATGGTCTTAATACAGCCATAATTTTATTTATATATGATGGACAATTAATTACATGAATTTGTGCAATTTTATATGCTGTTCCTTTTTCATAAAATTTCATAAAACCACGTAATGCTGATATAGAAATTTTTGATACATGTCTTAATGAAATATTTGCTGAATCAAATATTGATATAACACTATCAATTATTTGTGTTTCTGGTATTGTACGAAAGAGCATATCATATACCATAGCAACAGTTTTAACTGTTTCTGGATGATTATACTAAAATATAAGAGTAATAGAGAAAAAGAATTAAAAATATGTATATTTAGTTATGGAATTATTCATGATTTTTTATAATTATAATTTTTAAATACAAAGTTCATTTAGAATTTCTTAAAATAATTAACAATTTTATATAATGTTAAAGAAATTTGCATAAGTTGCAATTTATAAAACTGGTTTTCTAATTTTATTATAGTTATTTATAACAATATGCTTTTATTATACAATAATTATTTTTCATATTATATCAAAGATCAAGTTATTACAGTATAACAATATGAATGTTGAAAAAAAAAAGGTATTATAAAAAGAAGTAAACTTTGATCCTACATTTGTACTTAAATATTATTCGTACTAAATCTTAGTATGTATAATAAAAATTAAAATTAAACTTTGGTGCTATAATTTTTGTTATGATTGCTATGTTTTTTATTATAGCTTGTTGTCATACACTTATAAGTCTATTATGTGTTATAAATTAAATGTATGTAATATGATAATTAACATAACGTTCGCATTATGTTATAATTCAATAATGTAATTATATTTTTTTACCATTAAAATTAAAATTTACTTGTAAATTATAGATTGTGAATTTACAATGAATATATTTACTATATATTAGATCTGTACAATGAATATACTTACTTTATCTGGATCAGGATCAGAAATTCTTGATATTTGTATAATACTATTATCTGATGTCAATTTTGGTAAATATATAACATCTCTATAAATATTGAAAAAATTAAATTGATTGTTAATTTCAATATATACTAAATATAAAATTTAAAATAAATTTTTTTTCTCTAAACAGAATTCCTAGTTGTAGAGTTATTCAAGGTTATTTTTATAATGTTATAGATGACGATAATTTTTTTTCTCTTATAGGCACAATTTTCAGAACGATCTTTGATAAAAAATTGTAAGACTTAACGGTAGTCCATGAGACCATACTTAGTAATAAATTGTAATGGCTGTTTGGGGGTGCGAAAACTATATATTAATGTCAATTAGCCTCCACTATAAAATTTATTTGAATTTAATTGGAAATATTATTATTAGCATGCATTTTATTGCATTGAAATTTCTAGAGGCAATGTCTTCCCTTGCGGTATTGCAATGTGATACAGCATTGTTTGTAAATGTGATAATGTAATTGTTTGTAAATTTTAAAGGATATTAAAATTATGTAAAACTAAAGAGTATACGATTAAGCTACATATATGTCAGGAATAAAGTGATGTGTTTGAATAACTCTCTCCGCTCTCTAATAGACATAATTTGAAAGCGATTTCAGTGTGGAGTAGCAGCTAAAATGTGCGGAAAACGGTCTCGGCATTTGACATTTTCGAATAAATTTTCGAAGGTAACGGAAAAGTGTGTCCGTATGGCTAATATTTACATAATGGTTTTTTTGAATATTAAAAATAATATTAGACCGTATTGTAACATATTTTTCGGAATTCGAAAAAAATAAATTAGCGGCAAATCATGTAAAAATTTCTCAATTATAAATGATCATTTAACAAAGTTAATCATGAATTCATACACTCACAAACGCACATTTATACTATCAATTTACTAATTTACTTTAAAATTAATTTTCGATAAACTTACGATGCTCTTAAACTATTTTGTGATTCCTTTGAAGTAGGATCCCTTTCAATAAACAAATTTGAATAACTGTTCCGTATCGAATAATGTAATTCAATTAATTTTTGTATTTCTTGTATATTACCATTACAAACATTTATAAAATGTTTTAGAACAAGAGTATCTAAAATTAAAAAACAAAAGAAAAAGAAAAATTAAATAATTTATAAATATTTTTATTTGTATGTTTGCTGTTTACCAATTTTTGGTAAAGTATCATGTTCCGAGACCCATTTTTGTATTGGAATCAAAGTCTCATCAATTTTATCGTATACCATAATTAATTTTTTTTTTTTGAATTCGACTTTTACGTTAAAAAAATAAAAATATCTTATCAAGAGCACGTTTAAAAAAGAACTGAATAAAAAGTTTATAATTAAACACGAAATGTGCTTTAATGTTAGAAAATGTTAGAAAATGTGATTATAAAATAAAGGAAGTTGAAACGATTCTCTTTGTGTAAAGAAAATGTATAATATATATTTACGTTTATTATTCTTTCTTCTTGATGTTATTAGCAACCTTGAATTAGTTTTCTCTTTTAATATAATTTTGTACCTATGAAGAAAAGATCTAATAAAATGGTAAATAAGTAGTAAGTAAAATAATTACTTTGATTCAAAATTACGTTATAATACGGTATTAATACACAATTAAGCTTTCAAACTGGAGATAATTAATAAATTTTATTCAGTAAAAAAGTATTTGACTTTGCAATTTTGAAGTTACGGTATCGAAATATGTAATATTATATTACGGTATTATAAAATATTTTACGATCATGAGTATTATTTATTAAATTTTTAAAAATTTGTAAAATTACCATATTTTCGTACGATATTTTTGTAGAATACGATCAAAGATGTGCAGCAACAGGGAGGTGACATTTATAACATAGATACTTTATTATGGCATACATGTGTATTCACAACTGCTGCTGAGTAGAATTGACCTCAGGAAGAGTCATTTTATTCATTATAAAATATGTTTCCGATGGTGATTAAAGTGGCTGCTGTTATGAATTTTATCCAGCAGTTCCTTTAAATTTTTAGGCGGCGCTATTTCAATTTATTTTAATTTTTAAAATTAAAATAATTTTATATATAATAAAAAAAAACTTGTACTCATATTATAAAATAGATAGTTTAAAAATGCATATCTATTTTCAGGGGTGCAATAAACATGTACATAAATTTTTATACGAATAGAAAATATTAAAACTTAATTAGAAAAGTGAATTAAAATTTACGATTAATCAAATGCAAGTAATTGCATTATTATAAATATTATTCTATATATATGTATATGTATGTATATGTATAAATAAGAAATAAGAAGTGAACTAGTATAAAAAGGGACAAGTTGATTTGCAATTAGAATTTTAAAAATGCACAATGTGTATGTATTAGTACCTGATTTAAACTGAAAAAGTGGGGTGAAAATGACGATTAAAAAATATAGTGCAGTTTATATGAAATTGTTTGTGAATTTTACTTATTATTTTATTACGAGTATGGTAAAAATTTAATGCAATATTATTAAAATTAAAACATTAATGAATGATTTATAGTGTTTGAAATAAAAAAATACATCTTTTTAATTTACGATCTCTTACGATATTACGATAAAATTTACGATAAAATTTACGATATGAGTACATTTCACTGGAATTCATAAATTATATTTCGGTTATTCTCATTTCATTAAAAATTTCAAATAAACGTTTAAATTTTCTCATAATATTTCCAAATATACTGTACTGTAAAATATACTGAATAAATTATGGTAAGAAATTGAACTTAATACAATTCCTAAAAATAAAATTTAAATTTAAGATTTTAGTAAATAAAAAACTATTCAAATTTTTTTTTATATTTTGTATAACACTTTTATTATAAAAATTATATAACATTTAGTATATATTAATAAAATAAAATTTTAAACCTTGAACTTTGTTTTAGGTATAATATTTCAAAAATTTCCAAAATCTCTTTTCCTTCTTAATTTATTTATGAAAATTAATATTTAAAATATTTTGTTATATTTTTTTTTATAATAGATTTATTAATCAACATTTAAAGTTTTAAAATTTCCTTCCAATTCTAATGGTTTTGGTTGATTTGCTGGCCGTTTTCTTTCATCTGTTACCCAATATTTTTTGTCCATTAAATAATCTCTATATACAAATGGTATGATTTAGAAATAATATTAAATTATGAATCAAAAGAAATTTATATAAATGAAAAATTAGAAAAACGGCAAAATTTTTAAAAGGATATTTTAACACTCTGGTGAGAAATTAATATTTTATTTAAGAAACCAGAAATGAAAAAAACAATGGGAATGTGAAATTCTTTTTGTATGAAAAACAGAAGTAAATTTGTTATACATGCTAGCTTATATACAAACTTTAATACTATACCTAATGAACACAATATTATGTGTATAAAAATAACCTTTTCACATAATATACAAACCTATTATCTAATAGAATTTTATGTATTTCTTTTTTAATTTCAGGAACGTCAGCATTTCCACCATATTGTTTTGGTAGCAAATGTTTCTCTTTCACAATATAATTGTTAAATGTATCACTGTCGGGTTGATGAAATTTTATCTTGGAAAAAAACAAAAATAAAGACTGAGTGATAAAATAAGATTGAGATTATTTAATAAAATGGACATGATATAGCAACGAGATTGCAGTGCAATAACAGCAAGAAAATCTTTAATAACATATAGAAATATTGTTGAAAATCTTGTCGCTTCTGGCGACACTACGGATTTTTTTTTAATAATATTTAGAATTTAATTTTTTGAAAGTGTTAACACTATTTGTACGTGTTTCGAAATGTACAAATTGCAATGAAACCAATTCAATAATAATGTCGATATACGAAAAATTTTCAGAAATTGAAATTTAATTTAATTTTAAATTGATTTAGAAATTTGATATATTTCATTTAATGTAGCGTGTAATTCCTCGTATAACAACACAATATTGAGATTGAGACTGAAAATTTCAGTCGTTGCATATGAATTGTCGCAATATGAGAAAAGTTTTCTGTGAAATTAAAAATGTACAAACTTTGTTTTAAAAGTATGTTCATTTATGAAAAATAAAAGTTAGAACATTTAAGAAAGAAGCAAAACCGACAAGAAATTCTAATCTGATTTGAGCTGAACTTGTTTCTAAGAAAATTCGGATGTATGTAACGAGAATCGTGTAATTCCCGATGTATATATAAGCAGGTATAATTGTAAATGTTATTAGAAATATGTTCTACTTCAAACAGAAAAAGAATTGCTGTCGTTGTGGGAAGAAAATGTCGCTTAAAAATTTAATATGATTAAAAATTAAATTATACTTACCAAATCAAATAATTCTTTTGATAAAAATGGTTTTATTAATGCAATTATTTTATCTAAAAATGTTGGTGTATTTAATACATGTATATCACGTATTTTAACTGATGCTGCATCTTGATTAAATTTAATAAAAACTCGTATATGATTTAATGTTAATTTTGTAATATGTTTCAATGTTAATCCTTTAGCATCAAATAATACAAATTCACCTTTTGCAATACCATCAGGATCTTTTGTATTCATTCTTGCATCAAATAACATAACAAAAAGTTTTAAAGCATCTTGTGCATTAAACTATATACATATATAAAATATTGTGTATATAATTAAAAAATAATTGTTATAATAAAAAAATTTTCATATATACCTTATCTGGATCACAATCATTTAAACGTAATAACGTAATTTTCCAACCTTCTGATGTTAATCCTGGTAACAAAATTATATCTCTAAAATGAAAAAGTATTACAGTTTATACTATCGAACATGTTCGATTATACTTTCGAACATTGTTTGATTCGATTAATGGGAATTCTTATTTCCAATTAATTAAAGTCACTTAAACTTTGTTTTTTAAAATAGCTACTTACAATATATTATACATATTTTGTATAGCTTTTGAATTTGGATCTCTTTGTAAATAAAATTCTGACCAATTATTTCTCATACAATATTGTAAATCAATAACATTTTTAACAATTTCCAAATCACCATCAGCTGAATTTATAAATTGTTCAAGAACACAATCCTCTATAATAATAAAATAATTTTTTTATTTTATAAATAAATTTTTATTATAAAAAAGTTTTTATTATAAAAAAATTTGATTTTACGTACTTATAATTGGCAAATGAGGTTGTGTGACTAACCAACTTTTAAGATTTTCTAATGCTACATTATAATCAGTGTATTTAACCATTATGCTCTTTTTTTTGAAAATGTTGGGGACTCTGTTGTTGATTATACAAAATCTAAATTAAAACTGATTAAAATAAAATTTGGTTTTTACTTACCTTACCAAAAATTCATTCATATTTTTTATGAGATTTTTAAAAGAGCATCCCAGTCAAAGGTTAATTACAGTCAAGATGTTAAATTAAGTATATTCAAAAATTTTTTAATTTTTTAATTCTATTAGGAATTACTCAAAAATATGACAAAATTTTTGAAATAAATCTTAAAATTTGTTTGAACTTGTTATTTTTTATATCTAAGCACACTTTCTAGTTAATTAAGTTTTACAAAATTAGTTGGACTATTGTTGTGTTATAAAGTTTGTTATACTATAATGTTATGTTGTGACTAAAAAAGGTATATGGACGTATTTCTGACGAATGAATTCAAGCAATTTATTAATTCACTTCACTTTTGTGTTAAAAGAAGTTTTTCGAGTAGTTGTTCGAGCAGTGTTTCGTGCAGATATTCGAACAGTTCTACGAGCAGTATTTCGAGCAGCCCTTCTTGCGCGTGCTATAGAAATGTTCATCAATAAGTTTTGTGTGATATATTTTTCTGGCTGCTTAGAAATTGTGCAGTGAACATAAATAATCTGAGAAAATTTTCGAGGGACAACACGAAATTGTGAATATAATTGGATTGGATATATACAATTTGAAAAAAAAAAGTTGGAATGATTAGCGCTTAGATGCTTTGGAGTACTAACTAACTAATATGCAAAATTTCAATTAAACTGTCGTTTAATTATTATTGTAAGTGGTCCAATGTAAGCTAAGCGAGCTTCTGCTACTTATATCAAAAATATTAAGAGTTCTTTTTTAGATTCAGAAAATTTTCTGCAAACATTTGCTTTCCTTGATTAATTTGATTTAAATGGAAGCGATTTAGGTATGCCTTATTTTATTTCTTCGAATTATTTTAAGTTTATTTTAATAAATTTAAATACAATTTACATAATTATAAATACAAAATATTTAGATTCTTTATAAAAAAAATTTTAAATTTTCATATTATTATTTAATCTATATTTAATTTTTTAAAATTTCCTTCCATTTGATCTGGTAATAGTTTATTGGCTGGTTTTTTATTAATATCAACTTCCCAATATTCTGGATCCATTATGTAATCTCTAAAAATTTAATTTTTATAGTAAATTAGTGAAGTTTTCATTTTAGTTTTTTTTTATATATGTAGCAATACAAGAGGAGAAGACGGACAGAAGAAGAAGAATAATGTTTGTATGCTTGTTTGTACGCATACAGTGAAATACGACTCTAGAGGTATTCTTATTTTAACTAAACCCAGATTAAAATAAGATCTAATTTTCATGCTAGTAGCAATTGATAATTCACAAAGAATTTGTGGTGTGACGCTGATCATTATAATATTTTGTGAAAATATTTGAATAGTACATGATAATGGAAGAATCTTTGTGGAATCTATAATGTGAATATTAATATTTCTATAAAATTACCTTTTTTCCTCTAAAATTTTATATAATTTTTCTTTTATTTCAATTGCTGGTCCAGCATTACCATCATATTCTGTTGGTAATAAATCTTTTGGAACAAATTCATAGAATTTATCCATTTCTGTTGGTAAATGAAATTTAAGCTAAAAATTACAAAAAAAAAACAAAAATTAGAATTAATAAAATAAAATGTTTTTAATATTTTTTAAATCATCCAGCTGTATTAAATATATGTAGTCATTTTAACAAAAACTTCATTGTAAATGTGTGAGGTATGAATTGCCACTATAAATTAATTTGTTCACATAGTTCATGTAGTTCACATAGCCTAGTGCAGTTAAATAGTATATGCGATATTCAAGTCTTAAACTAAATTAAAGAAAAGGATTGCATATTTATAGGAATATGCAATCGAAGAGGATTGCATATTTATAGGAGAGCAATTTTATAAACTAGTACAAAATTTTCGTAGCAATTTATATTTTTTTCTATTATGCCAAATAAATGCTAATTTGTAAATAAACGCTGATTGTACTTGTCTAATTCCTGAATCCTTAAAAAACTTTAAGAATTTTCATTGTTTTCAAAATTTATATGTATACTACTACTCGTATGTAATTAGAGTCACCAAGTTTTAAAATTTTTAGTAAAAACCATAAAATATTTAAAGTTGGTATAGAAATTTTTAATATCAAAATGTTATACAAAATTATTTACATAGATTCTTAAATTGATTTTATAAACTTCTTAATTGAATAACAAAAACTCATTATGAATGAAAATTAACGAGCAAGGGATTTCTTATGCAGTAATAAATTAAAAAATGCATTAAATTTTGTTTAAATTTGAGGAAGTATAAAAGAAAATCAACAAATGATTAATGACTTATAATGAAAACTATTGAGAAAATTGTGCTAATAATAACTAGTGTAATCTTACTTAAAAGCGAAAATAAATTTTAATTACACTTTACTTAAATTCGGAGCGCTTGAATGATTTCATCCCAAAGTTCTTAATTTTTTTTTGAAACTTGAATTTAGAAATTTTAAAGTTTAAACTATATAAGTTAAGAGACTACAAATGCATTGTATAAAGTAATAAAATAAATTATGTATAATAAACTCATGAAATAAAATAATTTCGAATAATTATGGCAAATAATTACAGGATACTAATTAAAAACCACTACCTATATGTATATGAATTTTAATTGAGCCATTTAAAATTTAGAAAGTTTCTTAACAGATTAATTTTCTAACTACATATATATCTAAGTTAGAATCAAAAATTATTTCAAAAAGTCTATAAATAAGAGCTTCTACTTATAATGATTTTATATTTCAACTGAATAGAGAAATTCATATGTGAGCTGAGTATGATTTAAAAGCCGTGTTAGTGTTGGAATTTTCTCATGTATGCACCCAATATATTAAAATTACATACAGTACAAAATATTATAATAAAATTTCAATATTATTTAAACTTACCCTTTCAAATAATTTCTTTCGGATTAAAGGTTTTATTAAAACCAACAATTTGTCTAATGACGGCTGACAATTAATAATTTGTATACTACGTATTTTAAATGTTATAACTTTTTCAAAGAAACTTATTGAATTTGCAAGTAATGCTATATTTAATTTTGTTAAATGTTTTAATGTTAATCCTGTCATATCAAATACCATTATTTCACCATTTGAAAAACCATTATCATCTAGGCATGAATTTTGTAAATCAAAAAATATAAAAATTGATTTAATCCATGCTTCGAAATTAAACTAAAATTTGAAAAAAAAAAAATATAAAATTAAATTTTAATAGACGCAATATCAAATAATTTTTACCTTATCCAAATCGTTATCAATAAATCTAACCATATAAACAACATATCCTTCTTCAGTCCGTTTTGGTAGCGGCAAAAATTCACTGAAAAAAAAAAAAATTTTTAAATTTTTAAACCAAATTCTTTTCAAAAGACGAATTTATTCAAGCCAGAATAAAGTATTTGAGCCGAGAAATATTTTTCTCCACAATTTTGGAACTAAATAAGGTACATAGACCCATTTTTGTAAGCATAAAACTCTAAGAAATTAAAAATTTGGATCAGTTTTTAGAAATTTTTAGAAAATTACCGAACTTAGCTTAAAAACAAATTATTATAGTATAGCAAATTAATGCTAAAATTTACTTTGTTAAGACAAAATAATTGTGATAAATAAATTAAATTTTCAGTGAATGCAGGTTAAACTATGGAGAATTTGTATTTTTTAATGGACTCAAAGAAAACGGACGCCCGCCAGTACATAATTTTTAGCCTAAAATTGTAAGCAATAATTTAATATTAATTCAGGAAGTTCAGGGACATTTAAATCTATGTGTATATTTCTAAAAGTGAAATTTCATAAGAACCATAACTCATAAAACACCTTGCCTCTGTAAAACAACTAAATATTATAAATTTTCATATTAAATCCTAGTTAAAAGGTGTTTGTGTAGTTTAATCATTAATCGATATGAAGGCGGTATATTGTTAATATCTAAAGTGTATAATTATTAAACAAAAAAAATTAACAACTAAATTAAATTGTGCGGAAGTTTTCAACAATTAACAAGTGTTATTCAATATTAATAATCTATAATCATTGTTTGCAAATTAATATTTTCAAAATGCCATTCAATAAATATCAAAAAAAAAAAAACTTTGATTTCTCATATAGATAGAAGGTTAACATCTTTTCTGAGTAAAATTTTTGCAAATAATATTAAAAAACCAATTTATACAAAATTGTAAAATTTTGAATAAAAATCATGTCAACATAGTTATGTAATGTGTGATTGACACTATGCTAATAATTTTGAAATGTAGTTGACATAATAATTGTGTTAAAAAATTTCGATCATTTACCAATCACATACTGCTTGTCTAACAAAATATGTACACAGAAATTATTTTTCTCAGTGTACAATTTATTTCATTCATTAACAAAACACCATACTAAAGCTATAATATTAATTCAAGTGTTTATAATTATAATTTAAAATATTTAATAATTTCCTTACATTGTTTCTTTGATTAACATTTGAGATTCATCCATTGGATCACGATATAAAAATATTTCTGGATTTGCAGCTCTCATTGTATAATGAAGATCAATTAATTTTTTTGCTCTTTCAGTATCACCATTACATTTTATAATGAAACGTTTCAAAACCAGTGTGTCTGTTATGGAGAGAAAAAAAAATACCAAAAATAAAACAAAATAAAATTCATTCAAATGTTCTAAAAATAATGAAAATTTAAATTTCGTTTTTACCAATTTTGGGTAAATGAGGTTGTGTTAAAATCCAATTTTCCAAAATATTTCTAGCAGCTTCATAATCTGAGTATTTAACCATTATTTTTGTTTTTTTAAATATATTTTTATTAAATTACAAAATTATTATTGCAAAATTTTTAATATGATAAAGAATTCCAAACAAAACTAAAAAAATTAATAATTATTAAAAAATATGCGACTAAACACAGGAAGGAAAACCATATAACTGAAAATTTAATTTTAATTGAAAATTCTTAATAGCAGCGCATAATATTTAACTCTGATGTAAAATACAAAAAAAAAAACAAAAGTTTCCCCCTTAATTACTGGTTTCAATTCAGTTTTTATGGACAATATTTATAAAAAAAAATAAATTGTAAAAAATAAAAAAAAAATTGTATTAGAAAAATGAGAAAAAGAATTGAAATAAAAATATTGGAAAATATCGTTATTCGGCATTACTGGGAGGGGTTTCGAATTATTTGACTAACTCTAAATATAGATTTTGGATAATTTGGCGGGAAAGGAGGTAAGAAAATAATTTATTTGGTCCTCCTACAGGAAAAAAGGGTAAGAAGGATAATTACGACCAGCAATAGTTTATCAAGATGTAATAATATCTAAGAACGAATACATAGTTCAGGAAATTTGGCATAGAAACCAATGTGAAAGTTATAAAAATATCACCGCGGCCAAACTGAACTTCCTCTTTTAAGATTCGTTTATTCAATAAACCGTACCCAATTAGAAAGTTTGTTATTAGACGGACTATTTTTCTCCTTATGTTTAGTAGCATTGAAGAAAGTTTCTTTGCATAGCGTTAAAAAAAATTGGCAGCATAGCAAACAAGCAACATCAGACGACTCTAGCAAATCTTTTACTAGCATTATTATAAATTCGACCAAATAGCCATCTCTTAATAGTGCGTGAGCGGCTTTGTTGGAATCACTTGACTGTGATATGGTCCTCCTAAAACAAATCGAACTATTCTTATGCTTATTCTAATAAGCGACAGAAAATTTAAATTAAAATTTTCTTATTCCCTTATGGATGTTAGTTCAGTTTTTAAATTCACTTGCTTTTATCAATATAAATTCGGGCAGGCATATTTATAAAAACAAGAAAAACAAAAACAAATTTTACATATTGTAAAAATCTTATTCTATACTAGATTATCAAGTAAGTATAAGTATAATTTTGTGATTTAAAGGTGAGCTTTCAAAATTTTCCTATGGTTAATTTCGAAAATTAAATCGAGATCATTTCGAAATTAAATGTTATATAGAAAATGTCTAATTCAACCGACGCTAATTTTTTTTTATTTTTTTTTTATTAAAACCACAAAAAAAATTTCTAGTGAATAATTAAAAAATTAGTGATTTGAAATAAATAAGCCGTGAACGTAAAAATTAAAAAACCAAAAATTTTTTCTTGTTTCATGAATTTTGTTAAATTTAAATTAAAATTTTTGATTTATTAAAGGTGCAATAAAATTGTTGGGTAATATGAAATAATTTTTTTTTGGTTCATAATCGTTGCTTTTAGTATGCAGTGCGCTCAATTTGAGATTGATTTTTAGTGCTAGTGTTACTTATAATGATTAGGGATTGTACATTTTAATAGCTGCAGTTAAGCCGAATAGATGTTGTTTGATTGATGGATGGATAACGAATATCTTTTGTGTATTGCAGCGAAATTTGAATATAGTCAGGATATTTAATTTGTGAGTCCGCTTTGCAATTAACCCTGGAATGCTATATTCACTGATGTTGTTTAATAAATCACCTGTTACTATTGCTTATGTAATATTGCTTATGTAATTTTAATTACCTTTTATGTTTTCTGTTATCTACCGTTATTAAAATTATATTGTATAACAAGAAACTTTCCTACAGACAAGTGGTGTTCTTATTGTTTTTGATTATTAGTTAAGTTCAATAGTACTTGTATTAGATTGCACTAAACTGTTCGGTAATTAAATGAATTTTTAAATAATATGCTTGGAAATTAAATAATTAATTTAGATATTTTTGTTTTTTTTTTTTCAATTCTCTGAGTATTACACTTATTCACTTACAACATTTTGAAATTTTTTCGATACGATTGAATTGATATCATTTTCTTTTATAATTTTTATTATAAACAAAGCAGTAAGAAGTGTTGCAAAATTAAAATATTAATATCACAATTAGCTTTTAGACTTATAAAATATTTTCAATCCGGTCGTCTAAGTATTTGTTCACGAAACTTATGTCGTGTAAGACAGAATGCTGCAATATTGTAGGTGGCTTTCTTTATAAAAATAAAAATTTTTTTCTGATTCCGCGTAAACTCGTTTTACGAAGGAAGCCTGCAATTTCCCGTCATAACACCGATTAAGATTCTTGTCTGATTCTTGCCCAAACGTTTAATCTTATCAATCGCCGTAGCTATACTGAGGTATGTAACCATAGGTTCGTACCCCAGTGCAGTTATATACTAATCACAAACAAAAAAAAATTGGTTTGTGATTTAAATACGGTTGCACTTGTCCCCATACAGATCTCTGACCAATTCGTGTAATAGACGATGGCGTGTGACTCAATTGCGAAAATCCAGTCCCTAAAAATGACTTTCGGTAAGTTATTTTGTTGTATCAACCAGACCATTGGTGCAGTGGTTATGGCACCGGTCCTTTAACCGAAGGGTCTCGGATTCAAACCCCGGTCAGGTCTTGAACAATTTACTCGAATTCGAAAACTTAAAGCAAAAAAGAAAGAACTAGCATAATTTACATTAAGTTCATTACATTAAGCAGTCGAATTTGATCTTTGCTTCGGACGAATAAACCTTAATACAGATCTACTGTGAAATGTGCTATTTTAATAACCGTTATAATTTCCACTTATTGTTTTTTCTTTGCTTGTAAACGCATTTAAATTGTTGAAAACTTTAATAGAGAAAACAACGAAAAATTCATCATAAAAAAGCTTACCATCGTAAAATAAAACTTGATCGTTAAGCATATGTTCTAATAAACCAACTACTGCGTATTTAATTAGTAACTAACTTTATTTTCTTTTATTAATATTAGTAAAAGCCACTAAAACCACATTCGACTAAAATTATTTTATTAATTTTTTTTTTTTCGAAAACAACTTTTGTTTTTTAACATCTTTTGAAAAAAAAAATGTGCATTTTTAGAACGTCGTCATGGTTAGCAGCATTTTAAATAAAAACAAAAACAATAAAATTAATCAAAAATATTTTTAAGTACTGCTGTTGATTCGCGCGCGCAAAAAAATTAAAATAGACGAAAAAATTGTAGTGATTTTAATTTTTTTTTTCATATTTTTTCTCACATTATTTTCTTGCAATACAAAGGTTATTGATCCATGCAAACCATATTTTATAATTTTTTAATATTAAAGTTTTCCCGATTAAATATTGGGGAAAAATTTTGATTTTCTTTGTTTGTTGTAGCAGGGTGATAAGAGAAGGGTGATAAAATGTAAAAGTAATTGAAGTTTACAAAAGAAGAAAAACTATTGAAGCGTTTCTAAAGAAATAATTTTGTGTTTTCGTGCTTGCTTTTTATGCTTTCGAATAAATTTGTGTAAAATTAATGACCTTTGTATCAAAGTAGTGAAATTAATTTATTTTTAACGTTACATTGCATTTTTTTTGTAATTTTATTATTATTTTAAAATAATTATAATTATATATTTTAATGACGTCATATCATACTGTAAAAAATTTTATTAAGTCGGTTGTCCCGACTACGGGTACTTGATACCCATTTATATTAAGTTAAGCAACGCCTATGGGAAACTTTTCCTTTTTCAAGTTATTTAATTTCAAAATTGGTCTTCCTGAAAAATTTGGTCTATACTTAAATTGTTCTTTATAATGCACGAAATATAACAGGTGCCGACCCTATTTAAACCTGGATTGACGCTTTTTTTTTAATTTATAAAGTATTTGAATTTTTGTTTACCCTGCTTCGGGAGGATTGTCAAGGTGTTTCCTGAATCGGGAACACCTTGTGTGTTGTCAATTTGTGTTAATTTCAAAAATACTATAATTAAATTTGATTTAATTTTTAATTAAAAAATCATTTTATTCAATTATTCAGTAGTGTAATAAAATTATTCCTGACTCCTAATTTGTATACATTGATGTATTTAAGTGTCTAATTCGTTTCTGTAATTCAATTGCTCTTTCATATTATTGAAATTATTAAGAAAGCTATTTTTATTCGTAACGCCAGAAGAATACTGCCGGATTTAAAAAAAATTATTGAAATTAATTTTTGCATTGAAATTTTTTAAAGGAGTTATAGATTTCTTGTTATCCTTAAATGAATGACTTTTGATAACAGCCAGGGGTAGTGGGCGGTGGACGATGAACGATTTAGAAAAAAAATTTATATGAGATAAAAAATTGAATTTGCTTTAAAAGTGTGAATTTAATGTTAAAAATATCTGATTACCGCCGCATTTCAAGTTTAAACAGTGTTGTTCCAGGGGTGTAAAAAATATTTATTTTAATGTAAGTATAAATACAAATCGCCATTTGTTATGGGAAATAGATCGTTAATTAAAAACCATTTTAAACTATGTTAATTTAATTATGGGTTAAAGGATAAAGTTATAAACAAATTAGTCCTATATGGCGCGATTATAATAAATATATTTATATAAATAATTATGTATATAGAGCTGTAGTAATTTTGGTATTTAGATGCTTCTTGGGGATGATTATTTAATTATATACATGAGAATAATCAATAATTGTTTAATTATACTGGCTTTCCAACACTTCATATGTACAATTATACTCAAATAAATTTTAATAAAAGTATGTGCTTGTACATAATATTCCAAAAATAATGACAAATCCCAAAAGGAACCTTTAGTGAACATATATTAAGTGCAGTAACGGGAAATATTGACGTTGCACTCTTTCAGATCAAAAACATTACTATTTTTCACAAGAATATATCTTGTTTATCTTGTTCTTTTTCTTCATTCAAGTGTTTTTGGTATGGTAAGTAAATTAAGGTAAGTAAATTAAGTATGGTAATTCATTTATATACTTCATCAGCAGTATATATTTTCAGCGAAGGCGGGAGGTCCCAAACATCATTCAAAATTGGATTCAGGCTTAGGGTCTTAGTATGAATGTAAGCAAGGCAGTTTTTGTGCCATTTACTAGATGATTCTGAACATTGCTGCATTTCGTGCGCACCAATGCAAATAGTCTATGGAGGGGGTATTACGAACCAAACAATATTTAATCAAGAATTCTGGACATAGCGTTGCCTTTTACTAAGGTTTACGGTTCAGTTCTGTAGCTATGTTCTTTAACGTAGATGGAACCAAAATTAATGAAGTATGAGACTAATAGGTTGTTCCTCGAACACTACCGAGCATCCGTTAATATTTCAGGGAAAGGCATATGCCATTGGATTGTGTATTCGGGATTGTATCAGAATAAACCTCAGAAAGAGCTGGGCCTATTTTATATATCTATAGCATTGCACAGAGAGGAGCGGTAATCCGTGTATTGGAGCGGCAATCCGTGTATCCGCAGACATGTTTCCTAGTAACAAGAGCTATGGTCCTGCGTATTTTGAACAACTGTGAGAAACAGAATGGGGTTGATTATTGGAACAATTGCGTGGGACTATGTTGCTCCAAAGTAATAAGACCTCGCCCGGCATCGGGGAGGGGCTGAGAATTGACTTAACGTTATTCGTAGATAAAAAGGAGAGAGAGAGACCTACGGTCTTTGTCTGGAAGATAGCGAGATAAATTGCTTCGGGCTGAAATTTTTGGATAGAGGCTTTGTGACTCCAGTGGAAGTCTCGCTCTTGCAGTTTGAAGTATCTCGGAAACGGAAATTTGTCAGGGGTTTATTATGTTGTTAATATAGAAAAGAATCACAAGAGATCCTGTGGCCTTTACGCGGAAAAAAAAATTTAGATAAATATGTACATTAGTGTCTAAGAAGAATTTGATTATTAAAGATTTTATTTAAAATTAATGTATTAAAATTTTATATAATTTTACATAATATTGCAATATTATATAATACAAAGTGAATATAAAATATGATAGCAAATAAAATTGCTAACATCACTTTTCTATAACAATCTCAAATTAAATAATAAAATATTATTTCTATAGATTTTAATAATAATATACATAATACACATATCCCATATATTTAATATAAATTTCCAATATAATTTTGTATAAAGCATAAAAAAAAGTTTTTAATCAATTTCTAAAGTCTTAAAACTATCCACAAATGTTGTATTTTTACTACTCTTCCTCAATTGTTCATTAACTTTCCAATTTTTTTCATTTGATAAATAATGTCTGATTGAAATTGAAAGAGAAGAATGAGATGCACATGTAAAATAAAAGAATTTTATTTTTATTTCATTTCTCTTGAAAATTTGACGGCTTATCACATTTATAAGGTAATATTTTTTATTACTTAATTACCTATAATCCTTTAATAATGCAATCCATTTTTCTTTTATTGATTTAATATCACCAGCAACACCACCATATTCATTTGGTAACATTTCTTTTGGGACATATTTATAAAACGTATCGGAATCGGGAATATGAAATTTCACCTGAAAATCAAAATTAAGAAAAGTGTATAAGATTTTTGGAGCTAATTTTATATATATGTGCGAATATATATGTATAAATCACGTAATATCAATTCAATATTAAAAATCTACAAGCTATACGTTGTACATAATCTGGTAAATACCACATGTCTAACATTTACAAAGAAAAAAAAAGATATTATCGAATTTATTTTATTTAATAGAATTGTTCTTTTTTAGATAGATTGCTTTAATCGCTCGTTCTTTATAATTTCAGTTGAAATATTTAGACTACTTGTTATTTATACTATTTGTTATTTAATTTTAGAATGTCGGCTAAACTATTCATTTATGTACGAGAAGGCATTGGGAGAGTACGTAAGAAAGTTAGGTTCCGACTGCCCTTAAATACGGCCTTTTGCAGCAGCTGTCGGGAAATGGAAGATTGTGAGGAATGGAATATTTGTGATTGTAAGGCTTGACAAGTTGTCGAAGATTTGTATCGAGACCTTAGCTTGATTTTACAAGAGAACCGGGTGTAATTGTATGTTCAATGACGACCTGGGAATGCGGTGGACCTGTTCCGTCGGCCACGTCAACCAATCTACCGAGTACGATATATCTATTAACAATGTCCTCCGACAATTAAACGATCATTTAGCCATACCGACACTATATTCATACCAAATTAAGTTGATTTTACTTGGTTGAAAGAATAAAATTATTCTAACATGGGGAGTTTAACGTATGGGCTTCTAAAGTAGCGAATATTTGATGATTTGCAATTATTATACTTCTGAACCCTCTTGATCTACGGACAATAATTAATCCCATTATATAAAAACAATTCGTTTTTACTTACCAATTTAAAAACTTCACTTTTTATAAATGGTTTAACAATCATTAAAACTTTATCCAAATATGATGGACAATTTATAACATGAATTTCTTTTAAACGTACTGGATGTGCTTCTTGTGTAAATTTCATATATACTCTTAATGATGACATAACAACACGTGTTAAATGTTTTAAACTGAAACCAGCCATATCAAATATAGGAACTTCACCAGATGATATACCATTTGGATCTGGTACTATAAAACGAAGATCCGCAAACATAAAGAACATTTTTATTGATTCGGTGAAAGCAAACTAAAAGTAAAACAAAAAAAAAAAAAAACAAAAATTAAAATACAATGAAAATAACCAGAAATCGAAAATCCTTTTCTTTCATTTGTAGTAAATCAATATAATAGTTTCGTTTGAATAAATGAAAACCATATAAAAGAAGTAAAAAAAAAAACAAGGAAAAAGGATATTAAAGACATAAGTACTTTTACAAATAGACTTTTTCACAATAGGATAATAAAATCTAATAACATTATTTTTTTTTTTTTTGGTAAAATGTGTAAACGATTACCTACAGAGCTTTTCCAGGAAGAATACAGGAATAAGAATATTTTGGGTTTGTATATTACGTAATCCTATAAATTAACAATGGAATTGGTTTCAATTCTTTCTAATTTCATTCGTTTACACAATATAAATTCAAATCAAAAGGACATTTTATGTTTTACAAGTAGCTATGTATTCCAAAATGAAAATTACTTAATTTTATATTGAATTCATTTTCCAATAAATTACAGAATTAGCAATTTTTTGAATTCGTTTTGATTTACAAATAATTTTGAGGTTTTTAATAATGGGGCTCTTGTTATTTATAATATATAAAATATAGGATAAATTAAATTGTATATAGCTATCAAATTATTATAGATTAAGTATATAACACTTTCATATGTGATCCAAACAATTCTGAATATATGTTAGGCTGAATATATGTTAGGAATATTTAAAAGTACACTCATTTACGACCTCAGTTGTAGGTTCAGAATTGGACACATACATTCAAATCGGATTTAAAGAACATATACATATACTTTGCAACATATGGATCAATAAACTTTTTAGTCCACTTCTTTACAAAGCCCAGATTCGAATTAGTCCTACCAAGAATCATATTCAAATGAGAACCGAAATCCAACCTGTGATCGAGCATAAAACCAATATCGACCCGTTAAGGCAATAATCATGTCGAACAACTCCCTCCTCCACGAAAAAAAAAAAATTCAACACTTACCAAAGTTATGTTCAAAGCCCTTAGCTCGGCACCAGCCCCCGAAACTGGCTAAGGTAATTTCTTAATACAATTGCCAAATGGGGTAGGCATTAGAACGAGTACGAAGATAGCAAAATTCAAAAATATTCCCTTGAAGAATTTGATTTGAATTAGTGAATACTTGAATATTAACTATAAGAGCCTAAGGAATTGAGTTTTACGATTGAAATTTTCAATATTTTAGCGTTGAAGACATGTTAAGTTGTTTTTAACATTTGTATTCCGGAAGTGAGTGGAAATAAAATTTAATTAAAGCAAAAATAAAAATTAGATTCGTTTTGCAATGGTAACAATAAATTTATAAGCAACATACAATATAACTACTTAGCCCAATGGTATGCAATTTTGTTTGATATTTAAAATGATTTTCTCAAAAAAAGAATTTTTATTTGGTTCCCCTGAAAGTATGCAAAATTATTTATTTCATTAAAAAATTACTTAATTTTTCCATAATAGCTAACTAAGCTAGTTGAATTAGTTGGAATACTATTAAATTTTTTCAGATTTCATAAAAGTGCTTGATAAAAAATATCAATAAATACAGACATATGGTTTAATTCATACTGATCACATTACGTGTTACAGGACAGCCGTATAACGTTGTACAGGACAGCCAGAGAGAGCTACGAAATGACTTGATGTATTTCGAAATTATACTATAGAAATTGTTATTAAAAAGTATAAGTATGAAAAGTAGAGAAGGGGTTAGATTTGCCTATAATTTTTTGATGAAAATATGCGGAAGAAATTTTATACAGAATCAAAATATCTAGCTCAGTATTAAATTTTAATTAACAAAATTCAAACTTAATCACGTAATTTTATTTACGTAAATTGTGATTAATTTTAATATTAAATAAATATTTTTTTAAAATTAAATTTTATTACAATAAATTTATACCCAATAATTATTTTTTACACTAGAAAAAAAAATGTGCACCTTAAGCATAGAATACAAATTAAAAAGCCGGCAATAATTTGATTTTTAATTTTTTTTTTTTGTTTAGTTTGTTTTGGTTACGTCAATGTCAATGTCAAATATAATACTATCCAAAAAATTTAAAATTAATAAAACAAAAAAAAAAAATGTAAAATAATTAACATTGTACTTACGTTTTCTGGATTTAAATCAACTAGTCTGTAAAAGAGAAGTTTATTTCCACTTGGTGTCACACCTGGTAATATGAGCATGTCTCTATATTAAAAATAAAATAAAATATAATAAAATTTTAATTATAATAAAATTTTAAAAAAATTACAACGCAACAAAATAATTTTGTGTTACAAAAATGTTAAAGTTCAGTGTAATTTGATTGACATATGAGTAAGGTTATGTTTTATATTAGTTTTTCATTTTCTGTAATGTATGTATACGTTATGACTGTAATTTTTATTAATGTAAATAATTTAAATTATTGTTTTATTTTTATTTTGAATTTAATTTATGACGAGGTAAACTGAAAGCTAGATGAAATTTGGAATGTATGACGCAATTTTAATGCAAACTTTTTTATTTAAGATGGAATTGTCATGTAATGGCATTTCGGTCGCTTTCATATTTAGAACTGGAAATCGTAATTTTTCTAATTCTAGTATTATTATATTTGCCGTAATCGAACACAAAGAGCGATAAAATTTGTATAGTTTAATGGAGAATAGCTTCTATACGAGAATAGGTAGAGTTTACCTTTTAGTACCCGTACGAATGAATAATTTGCCCCTCTGTTTCATACATACTCCTTGTTTTTTACATGTATAGTGCTTTTATAAATATATGGCAGTTAGTAACATTTCTGAGTGAGATTGAGTTGCTTCAAAATCATTATTTTGTGTATACTAGAGTTTGACAAAGCAAATTTTTTATAAAAATTTCGAAGTATATTTTTCAATATACCTCGTCTATTTCGCTAATCATAAATCTAAGTAATTGTCTTTTGTATTTTATTTATTTTTACTATTACTATTACTATTATAAAGTTATTTTGCATACAATTATTTAAAATTATTTTTATAATATTATATATTTAAAATTTAACTCACGTAGTTTGTAAAACTTTAACAGCTTCATCTGAACATGGATCACGTTGTAAAAATATATTTGAATAATTTGTCCGCATTGTATAATTTAAATCAATTAAAGCCTTTGTTTTTTCAACATCTCCTTGACAAGAATATATGAAACGTTTTAAAATTATGTGATCTATATAAAAGAAAAAAAATACAAAATTTAAATAGTGTTAGTAAATTTAGTATTAATTTAAGTGAGAATCTTAATTGCATAAAAAATTATTGTTAAATTACAATACAAGGTAATTCGTCACTAAAATTAATAATCTATAATATTTTTAAAACGTTTCCAACACAGAACTTTAATATTATTGAATGGAAAATATTATCTCACATTGCCAAAACTTGCTTTTGTATTTATAAATTAGAATTATCCAGAGTCGGACTTTATCCATAGCAGAAACTAAGAACTTTCTTATATATTTAAATATACTTATGAAAAACAAGAAAAATTTCCTGATATTAGAAGTCTTCTTGAGCATTCCACGAAAACACTCGTATGTCTAATACTATTTTTGACTTGCGACGCATTAGGGGGAGGAAAGGGTATGAATTTCAAGTATTTCACTTTTCCTGCTCGGAATAATAATGTAATTCTAACATTTTTGCTTTATTTATTAAATAATATTATGTGTTATTCACCTCCTTAATTGCTTGATCTTCAAAACTGCGAGTTTATTAACCGTATTCTCATTATATAAAAGACTAATACAGAATAATTTTTAATTAATTCTTACTGGTCTTTTCCCATGCATATTATTAAATTAATTAGAGCTATGGCGTTTGTTCTATATTCACAGCAATTATTTCTAATAAATTTTTAATGGAATTGAATAATACTTAATTAAAAGTTTAAAGCATATAGGTATATTATTAAAATAAAATTCGTGTAACTATTTGTTGCATAATGAAATATTGTAGGCTTTCTTCATAAATTAACTTTTTGCAATATTATTTAATTTTCTATATAACAATATTGCTTACATTTGTTTAAGCACGTATAACTAAATTGAAATTAAGTATAATAAAATTATAATTAATTTTACTTTTAATTATTTAATTTGCAAAAAAATAGCAATGTAAACATATTAAAAAATTCTTGATTTTTTGTAGATTTTTTACAGAAATTTCGAACTCGCAACAATAATTATAGCATACATTGACTCATAAGTAAAAAATTTTATTCAGTTTTCATAAATGTTTTAATAAAATGAGAACTGATAAACTGTTTACAGCAGTTGTGCCTTTCTGGATCCTAGAACATGAAATTCTATAACAACTTTACAGAAAAATATTTATATCAGTTTTCATATTGATTTTATTATACGTAAAGGATTAAATTCATGAGGGAAATTTTCATACATTCTTGTATAACATTTACTGTTTGCTGTTCACAACAAATTTATTAATAAAATCTAGGCTGAAATAATATTCTTTCCATATAAATAATTAGAAGTATTAAAAATTGTAATATCAATTAATGTTCCATAATGTCAGCAATATACTTAAAATAACTACATTATAATTATATGATTAATAGAATCAATTAATTCTAATGAATCGTCTTAATAATTTTTGAGAAATTAGTCTATATTTATTAATGGATATTCTAATAATTGTAAATAATTAAAAGAAATTTAAATAAAATTTATAATAGGGATATTTTGGTGATTTCCCAGAATTATATTCTAATTTTTCTCAAATACTGTTATATAGTTGTTGAAATGTTGAATATACTGTTATACGAATAGAATTAAATTTATAGTTTTTATAGTAAAATTATTATAAGTATTTAAATTAAGTTTTCATGACTTAATTCATATAATTGAATCTTCATGACTAATCTAATTTAATTTTATAGTATAACAATAACTTACTATTAAGGGTTATGTAAGTTATAATGCAACTATAAGGTGTATTGGTATTTTTAGTTAATTTTCTATTTAATTTTTTGCATATTTTAATTAAGTTGTTAGTGAATATTATTAAAATTAGTTTTAAAAATTGTGATAATACTTGTACAATGAATTAATATCGCTGTTTCTTCTTTAAGTATGCGTCAAGTTACATTAGTTTGTAGTGACTCTCCTAAGCATGCACTGAATAAATCCACTGTGGTATCAAAAATAATGGGTTGAATATTTTTATACTATTTTAAGAATATTCCTACTCTGCAATGCAATCGAAGATTCGACCTTCTTGAGACTAAATCTTTCAAAACCCATATTTTCTTATAATTAATATTAAATATTTAATTAATTACAAAATATTGTTCGATTATTATACGAATTCCCTAAATATAATTCCACTACTTTCACATAGATGCTGCACATGAAGATACGACTACAATATTACAGTATTACTTTTTCAACTTTCTAAATCCCAATCTATAGCATAAAATTACGACAAAAAAAAGGTGGCACAACAATATTAATTTATTTACTCTAAGTACCAATTAACATAAAAATATTAAATTTTGTAATTTTAAAACATAATTTTTTCAAAAATTATGATTTTTTTTTTTATTTTTTTCTGTTATACAAACTTAACTAACTTTTGCAATACAAACATATAACAACATTTTTATTACTTAACCTATATTTATTTTTTTTATGCTGTCTATAATTTCAATAAGTAGTTTTGAAAAAAAAAAAAGAAAAATATTTTCTAGAAAACATGTGAAAATTTTCCTTTTAAAAAATATTTTTCAGTTTCACTTTTTTCTTAATGCAATAATAAAATATTTTCTGTTTTTTTTTTGTTCTTCTTATTGTTTTTTGAACAATTTTCAATAGAAACATGTGAGAATTATCTGCAGTACAGTTTTTTTAATTAATTGTCCTTATAGATGAAGCTCTCTGGAGTAAAAACCACTGTTATTTTAATGCTATTAATTTAAATGCTATATTAACGATGAGTATAAAATTAGGCGAGTGTTATGTTAGTTTCATTAGATGATACCATTGATTTCCAAATAGAGAATATTAAGTGATTTTCAAATGAGTATTAAATGTGTTATAAGTGAATATTTTAAGTGAATTTCTTTAAAAGGTACCGTTAATTTTTTGAACAGTGAGCATTAAATGAGTTTCAGGTGAATATTGAATGATCATTAGAAGTAAGTCTCTTTGAATGACAACGCTAACTGTTAAATAGTGAATATTGAGTGAATTTCAAATGAGAATTACGTGAGTATTAGAACTGAGTCTCGCTAAATGAAACCGTTATAATTTAAATGGTGAGTATTAAGTTAGTTTAAAATGATTTCTATAAGTGCGTATTAAGTAAGTATTAGGAGTAAGTTTCTTTAGATGATACCATTGATCTGCAAATAGTGAATATTAAGTAAGTATTAGGTGAACATTAATTTAATATTAAAAGTGAGCCAACTTGAATGACACCGTTAATTTTTATATAGTGAATACGAAGTGAGCTTCAGGTGAGTATTAAATGACCTTTAGAAGTGAGTCCCTTTAAATGACACCGTTAACTTTTATATAGTTAATATTAAGTGAGGTTCAGGTGAGTATTAAGTGACCTTTAGAAATGAGTCTCTTTGAAGGACAACCTTAATTTTCAAATAGTTAATATTAAGTGAGTTGCAAATAAGTATTAAGTGAGTATTAGAAGCGAGTCTCTTTGAATGACACAGTTACTTATTAAATAGTGAATATTAAGTGAGTATCAAATAAGTATTAAGCGAACATTAAGTGAGTATAATAAATGAGTATTAAGTGAAACTTACCAATATTCTGTGGTAAATGTAATTGTGTTTTAAGCCAATTTTCAATTATTGGAATTGCAGAATCATATTCCGCATCGATCTTCATATTTTCAGATTGAAAATGTGTAGATTATCAAATAATTTAGATTAAAATCAAAAGTAGATTATCCAATATAACAGTTTAATTAAGGAAATTTTTGAAATTTTACTAGTAATTCCGAAATTTTTTTCGAATAGTACGAACTCAGGATTTTTAATAAAAAATATTAAATTTGTTCTTTTTTTTTTTTTAATTTAATAACCGTAAATAAAATATAAAGAACCCGTCTTCTTTCGACCACTTATACGAACAGACTGATTCATTTTAATTTTAAATGCTCTTTATTTTTTTTAACAAGTTTCTTGTTTTAGTATAGAAGTTGATTTTTTGTTTTTGTTTTTATTTTCTTTTACACTTCTAAAAGCTGAAACAGAAAAGAAAGATAAAAGTTAAGTGAAAAATTTATTTTGTTTAAGTAAAACTAAAATTAAAAACAAAAATAAAAAATAAATAAAAAAAGATTCAAGTAAACTTACCTGTATTATTTTAATCAGGTGTTTCAGTTACACTATATAAATACTTGTTCATCTATACATTTCGCGTTTAATGTATCGTACGTACTAGTTTATATGTGTACTACATACTTGTATATTCCAAAAATTATTGCATATAAATTCATTTTTGTCATATACCAGGTTTCTTTTGAATTCAAGTTAAATTAGTTATACATATATATTATATATGTATAACTACTTGTTTTTAAATTTTTATATTATTATTGTTATACTCATATTGTATATGCGCACAATATTGCATATGAAATCGGTAAAGTGATCAAAATTATGAAGAAAGTAAATTAATCTTGTTGATCTTTAACTTATATACTAAAGGAAATTTTATGTTGCAGTTGTTAAATCGAAATTCTGTATAGGTTATATAAGTGTAAAAACTATAGTATGAGATCAAATACTAGGTTTGTACATAAAGCGATTGATAGTTTATTTTCTAAAATTTCAGAGGATTTATGGTGTTTATATTTGGAGCAGATATTGGAGGTTCGTGAATGAGGTTAGTTGGTTTCGATAGGTGATAGTGGAGTAGTTCTTATTTTCTCCCGGAACGATTTGTTGACAGGCTTTTTGTCAAATATTTATCTTAAGGAATGTCAATGGGCGTTGTTATTGAACTATTGCTGGAAGTCACAAGGTTTGACAAACATTTTTAAGGTTATCGTTATTAAGGTAATACTCGTATAAAGTCTCAAGATCAAATCTCTAATATTAATGTTAGAAAACGAAACGAACGTTGGTTTTTGTCTTAGCCTTAATAGTGCTTGTTATATTAGTTTAAACATGCGACTGAATTTTATATTATGAATGGAGCATTAAAATTTAAATAAATATTTTCATTTTAATATAAAAAAAAAATTGCAATATTATGACATAATATTAAAGATAAATAATAAATTTTCTTATAAAATTATACAAAAATTACTCTTAGCGAATTACGGTCAAAAAATGCATTATACGAGTAATCAGGTTTGTATATTGCAAATATTATACACAATTTCTCATATAGGTATCTACTTAAATACATTGCATGTCCACATAATATTCGTATACCCACATATTTAATATAACTGTTTAAATAATCAATGGTGCGGTGTTGTATAACAATTTCTTGCAGAATTTTAACATTTTTTCATGCACATTTTTATTTTTCAATATTATGAGATTTTTGGTATATTTTTCTTAAATTATTTTTTTTTAAATTACTCTGGTTTAGCCTTGATTTCATTATTTTATTACTCAATATTTTAATTAATTTTTAATATTTCTTATTATTTTTTTTTTTGGAGGATTTTGAGAAAGCATGTTTGCTAGAACGAATATGTGATCACCATATGTTATTAAACTTTTAAATTGTATCAAGGTTAACAAGATTATTGTATAATAGTTAATATATTAATTATATAATGACAATATAAAAGAATTTTGAATTGACCGAAATTATGAAAAAATTTGTGAACTGAGTGCAGCATAAATTTATTAAAAGCATTTAGAGATGGAACATAAAAATTTTAAAATACTCATTTTTTGTATTGGTAGATTTCGCATTTCGTTGATAGTGGCGTTTATTCACCATATTATAAAGTATATAACAACTAATGAAATTAGAATTAATTTGACCTTACAAGGTCGGGTCCCGTACTATTGTAACAGTATATTCTAAAAATAATACAATTTATGATAGCCATCTTAATTTTATAATGAACTTTTCATGTGAATGAACCGGTTATTGGTCTCCGATAATAATTTCCAATGAATCATTTAAACGTGATTCTCTATATACACAGTTATCAATTTAGTGAATAATTAATTTAAAAAACATGGAATATATAGTTTACATTTACATTACAAATAGTGAATTAATAATTATTTTTAATAATTTTAATTATTTAATCAAAAATCTTTAGTCAATTAATTTGATTTCTTAAATAATATTGTATGTATTATGAATAATATACGGTGAAAAAAGTGATATAAATTTGTGTTTACTGGTTTTCGACGGCTTATTTTAATTTAGTCCAAGTTGGCAAAATTATGCTACATTATATTGGGTGCTGAGGCAATTTGTCGATAAAGCTAATGCGGTCGTTGGCGTGCTCCCGGACAAGAGAGCTAAAATATATTTCATGGGCTTAAAACACTACTGTGGGAACACTAGCAGGTGATAAAGCCTATATATAGAGGAAGAGAAATTGAGGTTGGCAGTGTATAAAGCAGGTCTAAGGCTAACGAGCTTTTACGGAACTATGATGAGAAGCGATTCGAGAAAATGATTGCAATGAATAAGCAGATAAGATTTTTTTCGACGCTGTATTGTCAGCTGCAAGCGCAACTGAATATTGTGGCGGAGACGGAAGAAGCTTTTACATTCTTGAAATAAGAGAGCTGCATTCGTTTGATCCTCACAGGATTCTTAAATTTGCCAGGAAGATAAGCTTCGAAGGAATGCTTCAAACAAATGGCTTGCAACGTTGATTGGGATACAATAGATCTACTTTGTCAGCCCTTCTTACATAACATAATGTGCTTTAATCCAGATACATAGTTATGAATTTGTGATAATATATTCCGAATTTAATTAATGTTATATAGTAATAGTTTATATATTACTTAAGGCATTCAAAAATATTAAAATCAATAGCTATTTTAATTAATATATGTAAGTACTAAAAGAAAACTCGTATTGTAGATGATAAAATTCACAAATACCAAAAATTATTTCCAAAAAATCACAATAATATTTTTAATGAGTGTGGGATAATCAATTTTACTCTAAAATAGTAAAAGTTAATAGTATTGTGTAGTATGTAAATATATAAGTGATAATAAAATAACAAATTCTTTACATTATTGTCTTAATAAACAAAAACACTCATATAAAATAATTAACTAAGTTTAAATGTAAATAAATAAGTAACAAAGTTCATTTTCGTTTAAGAATAACATATTTTTGTGTTAAGTAAAAATTTTTTTTTAAAAATAATTGCTTTTATGCTAATTAAATTACTTTGAAGTTCTTTACAGTCATTTTAGTATAGAGTGAACAAAGATTGTAATTGTCATCAAAATAATTTGCTTGTTCAATACTTAAATATTGTGAGATAATTGTTATGTAAATAATTCTTATGTAATGATAAAAAAATTAATCATTGGTTGCGTTAACACTGGTGAGATTCTAGATTTAAAATTTCCCATAATTGTTCGAACATTTTTCAATATAAAGCTTCCAATATCAGGAGGAACAAGGTCGCTTGTGGGCTCTAGTTGTTATTTTTTTTGAGAATTGGAGTCAGGCGAGGATTATTTGTAATTTAATTCTTAAATCATTAATTTGTCATTATATTCTTAAATCCACATCTGCATTAAATTGATTTGCATTAATTTCGCAAATAAAAATATTAGTAAATTATCAAGACCAATAACAAATCAATATCTGGAGTGTTACAATATAATGCAAGCTCTACTCAATCCCATCCACAACAGCAATAATAATAATATTTTAACACTTGAATGATTCGCCTAATTTTTGAAATTCATTAATTCACTTATTCTTAATTTTTTTTTTTGCTCTTACAAAATATTACAATGAATGCACAATTTATTGTAAACGGCATTTAAAAAATTAAAATATTTGCAATACAATAACTACTCATAAGTTTTCACGTTCTATATGATTAGTTTGTTACTTTTTGTACAGAATAATTACAATTATTTAATTGAATTTATTATCTACCTATTTATTATGTTTTCCTGTTAAGTGTATAACACTATGATACTCGTAACAGTATTATTAAAATTTTACTAACATGAAAGTTAAATGTGTTTTGTTTAATGCTATAAAACTCAAGAGTATTATTTATGTACTGTCATTAAAATTGTGTTAAAATATTACTGTTATTATTATTATTTTTTATTATTAAAGCTGTTGCATTTTATTTTTTAACAACACTGTCATTTTAACATTATTGTTGTTACTGTTGTTATAAATAGCAACTTTTATGTTACTTTTGTTAAAATAATTTTATGTAGTTATATTATGATAGGTAATTATTTTATTGTGGTTTACTCTATTATTATTAAAATTATAAAAATGAAAGTAAAATGAGAATAAAGTAAAATTAAAATATTATGTAGGTTATAAAATTATTACAATGTGAAAATATGGACTTCGTTGTAATGAAAATGAGAAAATAAAAGAAAAAAAAATATTTTACTTGTCATTAAATATTATTTACCACAAAGTTTATTATTGCCTTAAAAATTATAAATATGAAGTATAATAATAGGCGACATATGCCTTCTCTTCAGCAACATGCAGAATAAATTAAATCAACTCGAACAAATTGCCAAAAACTCGCTTAGAGTTGTATCCACAAGGATCAAGAAAGCCCAGTCGTCCCAGAAATACTTTACGCAGATCTGTAAAAGCCGAACTGAGAAATCAGCCTTATGTTTTTGATTTAATTGAGAGATTGAGAGTTCTAATTTCATATTTCTTTTCTCAATTATTAAAAAAGTGAGAGAAGTAATATTAAATAAGACTCAAAATTAATATTAAGTAAAAATTTCCATCTATTCTATAAATAAGAAAAATCTAATCTATACTCGTATGACATGCAATTCCTCCGTTTTTTCAATAATGTGACTATTACTTTCTCTCATATAAATAAATCTAACAACAAAATACTCAAATCCTTTCAGAATTCAAAGAATATTTATTTAGATTCTTCTAAGAAA